ATGAACTACATAAATCATTAGTATATCTTAGAGATTATTTAGTTAAATTAGGACCTAAAGGAAGGCAACAGGACCTTGGATACCATAGAGCACAGTAGGATGCAAAAAAATAATTTATTTTCTAGTAAGTTGAAAAGAAAATTATTGTATGACAAATGTACTTATCCTATTACATATAAAAAAGGTGACCTTATTTTAGTGAAAAATCAAACAGGAGATAAACTCCAAAACATTTATAATGGACCATTTGTAGTTATTGAAGAAGTGTCACCCAATGTAAAAATCTTGAAGGATAATAAGGAATATCTTATACATAAGAATAATACGAAATTGTATTACACTTAAAAATAATAATTATAACTAGATTAATTTTATAACTAAACTTATGTTACTATAATTTTAAGTACTATGGAATTAGCCTTATAATATACTTAACATACATTATGCAACATGACTTAATTGTTCTATCTAATTTTATAATTTTCCTTTAAAAGGGAAGGGTGAACAGGACTTTTTCCAGGGAGTTGTAGTGTATACCTATCGGAAACGTAATTAGGTCATGTCGCAATCCGCTATTTACGTAGATAGTTTTAGCAAGTAAGCAATATTATTAATTCAATTATTTTGTAATGTTTTATTGCACTCAATAAACGGACTTCAAACTATAAACTATGTTTCCTTAAATAACCAACGATAGGCTAATATTAGAATAGTTTATCATCTATGATTTCATAACATGGGGCACCTTGGAATCACATTCTCTTACTAAATTATTTATGACTTGCTTGCGCCCGCGACTGGTTCCGCGTTTAAGTTAGTTTTTAGAGAATACTGCACTAACCTGAAATATTTTCGGGATATAATCTATCCTATGCTTCAATGTTGGTGATAAACTATATATAAATGCTAAATTGCATCCAAATCTCTTCAGTCATTTTAGCGTAAAAGAGTAACAAACATCCAAAAAAACTTCCGCATTTATAATATTAGTACAGTACTCATACGAGTAGAAAAGTGGGAATGATGTATGATTAGTAGGATAATTAAAGCTTCAGCTGCTTTTATTCTAGGTACATCTTTGTGTTTAATGAAATTTCGTTGTGATGCTTTAAATCGTTTGATATGGTTTTCATTATGGCTTAAGATATTTTATGTAACTAATGTAGTGTGTAGATAGTATAAAAAACACTTATTAAAAAAACTTATTACAAAGTATCTGATGATATTACAGACAAAAATACTTGGGTTTGAACTTTTCCAATCATTCCAACAGGTTTTCTACATTAAATAAATCATGATTGTATTGACGTTGTAACAACATAATCATTTGTAAATGTTGTTACTACCTTAACTAGAAAAATTAAGGAGTATTCACACGATTTTTTCTTTTACAAAGCTAACTAACAAAACTAAACTAAGCCGTCTTAAATGTCCGAGATTTCAAAATCCTTTCTCTCCGACCTCCTACTACAGCGAGAATTACGTGCATATAAATATTAGGTACATATTGGTTAACTTATTTGGATTCGTTCGACATAGCCAAACGTAACTTTTCCTCGTAAGTTATATCATAAAACACAGAGAACCATCTGAAGTATCGCACGTAGAATATTAATTTCTGACAAGTGAATGAACATCATTAGGTACAGTGCTTTTGTTGAAACTCATAATTAAAAAGATAATTCTTAAGGCTCACTGACTTCATTAAGATAAGCTTTAAGATTTTTTTAAATAATAGTGGTTTAAATAACAGTAGGTACTAGCGCGATTAGACTTGGTTGTTAGCCCGAATACTAGTGCTAATGAAATACGGGTAAACGACTAAGGACCGTATTATAGAAAGACTAGCAAACCAGTGAACCAAATGTTCACCAAAACCTGATTTCTCGAAAACCGGAAGTGCTACGTTACTCAAATCCGGTTTGTAGTCTTATCAGACTATTCTTAACTTATAACTTAAATATTCTGTTTATCTATCTCTTACGGTTTGGCCGCTGAAACAGCACCACAGACGGACGGACTTGTCTAATAGATAAGAGACTAGCAAACCAGTGAACCAAATGTTCACCAAAAAAAAATGTATTTAATTAATTGAGAACTTCGGAGATTTTGTGTGGTTTCGTTTGAAATAGAAATCACGTGATTTCTCGAAAACCGGAAGTGCTACGTTACTCAAATCCGGTTTGTAGTCTTATCAGACTATTCTTAACTTATAACTTAAACATTCTCTTTATCTATCTCTTACGGTTTGGCCGCTGAAACAGCACCACGGACGGACGGACTTGTCTATTAGATAAGAGATTCTCGGTGATTGATCTAGTCTTGAGCATAGTTAGAAAGGGATGTCGCTATATATAGCACATAGCGACATCCCTTTCTAACCCTACTCAAGTAAAGATCAACACTTAGTTGTCATTCTGTAAAACGGCCCTAAGTGTAAATGAACGGATTCGAGTACGGCTGTATTCGGGTTTCCGCAAAACCGTTGGGGTTTTCGCAAAACTTCGTTAATCAAATCATTATATGACATTTAAAATATGAAGAAATACATAATGTTTAAACAATGGTATATTTATCATTATACATATCTATTTATATCCATTACCCTAGTATCTCATTAAACAAAGGCTTGTTTTGTTGACAGGTATTGATAGCCGGAAAATTATAAAATAGGGAGATTTGTGCAGAGCTTAAAAAAAACAGTATTTTGTTTGTTGACATTAATTGATTTCTTAGAATATGTAGAAAAAATGGAGGAAATATTCCAGACATAATTTAAAAAAAAAACATATCAATTGTAAAGTAGCTGCAGGTATATATAACCAAGTTAAGTAAGCACTGTCAGGCGACAGTGCTTACTTTGGGCCTAGGCTAAATGGTGTGTGTTAAAAAAAAATCTTTAACATTTTCATTGTCAGAGAATGTGTTGCGCTTGTTTACTGCGATAACGTAATCTGTAGTTGCCGTGTTTTTTTTATCACAGTGATTTATGTAACAGTTGTAAGATACGCGGACCACCTGATGTTTACTATCGCAGAATGTATATTTCCGATTTATTGTTTTTTACGTGTTCGATAACGTGATAAAGATTTAAAAAGGTACCTAACAGTACTTATTACAATTGGAATGATAGTTCTCCTCATGTTAAAAATTTCGCAATCTCGCGCACGTAGCTTTCGAAGCTAAAGAGAAAAATTCTAAGTTTAATAGGTAGGTATACACTTTTATTAATACCTTCTAGTACCTATTCTTATGTAGTCAGGCCATAATCAGGCATTATTATTTTATTAAGATGAAGATCTCTATGGTCGAGTGCTAAACTCGCAAAATACTTGTGCATTTAAAAAAATAAAAATGTTGAACAGTGCATTTATCAAGTAACTCTATAGGCTATAATAATATATCGCTAAGACTAGTGGGATTGGAGCATCGATGAAAAAACGGGTAAAAGTAAACGGTAAAAATTGCACAAAGATCATGTATGATGGAATTGTTCCCCATTAACAATTCTATAAAAAAACGGTCAAAGTTACACAAAATCCGTTTTGTTTTCCGTTTTTGTAACATTTTTTATTAGTGCTCCGCTCAAACTACATTTAATTATCTAAACAAAACAAACAAACTTCAGCTTTATGATATAATTATAGACTAGTATAGACAATAACATTCGATTGATCCAAAAGGACTACATTTACTAACAAAACTATCCTTTACTTACTTACCACATGATGATTATAATGATTGAAAACAATTACAGAACTAAAATGAATCTAACGATAAAACCCACAAAACTTAAAAATTGCTACTTTTTCTGTTGATATGTTCTTTAACATTTTTTCTCTGTTCTCTGATAATATTTATCGCTCGTATTTCATTGAATTATTTACTATGTTATTAGGGGGCGTAGCTTTTATAATTATTGTTAATTAAGCGATACCAAGTTATGTTCTCCTATCTCTACTTGTGCACTTTATTATTACCACGATAAGTTTATTTTAGTAGAAATAGATATGATACACTCATCATGACTCAGGTATAAATAAATTCATCATACAAACATTTGCCCCTACCGGGATTCGAACTCAGGACCTCGGAGTAGGCCATTGGCGCAGCTAGGGATTTCTCCTAGGAAGGGGGCAGCCATCCAGTTGAACTACATAGGTAGCATTCTTTATGAAATTAATTTTGTAACATTTACCTGTACCATGGTGATTTTTCAAGACTTTAATTTTAGGGTGGGCAGGCGCTACGCTCCTCTAGCTGCCCATGCCCACAATTTCATAGTTAGTTGAAAATCTGTGATTATTTACCAAAGAAGTCGTCAATTTTGATCCATGTGTTAAAAGTTTGAGCTCTACCATACATAATGTATTTACACTTTATATAAAATCAGAAAATAGCAAGTAATCTACGACTAGGCTTACCATCCGTCCAGATTAGTCCGGACATGTCCGGAATTTTAGAATGTATTCCGGACTTTGTCCGATTTTAAATTACCTACTTTGATTATGAATAACAAAAGTACATATTGATTTAAATACCATAACATTGTAACTAAGTGAGTAATGATAGCATTTTGTGTCTAAAAAGTCCGGACTTTTTTCGAAATGTCAGGATTTTTGTCAGGACTTTTAAAATTCCTAAATGGTAACCCTGTCTACGACCAGCTTTACCGCGTTTACCTATTTCATTTACTTACCCATACCTACTTCATTATCTTTCAAATAATCTTTGAAATCTGCTATCAGTACATCGCAACGGCTCTATTCATAGTTTCTATGTAAAATCAACACAACAACAATAAATTTTTACACATCTCAAACATTTGTACCGAGCTAACACTCGCGCGCAGTCAGCGCCGAGTAACCGCGCGCGCAGTAGCACTCCCGCGCGCGTTCTATTTTTAAAAAACCTTGACATTGCTTTTTTTTAATAATGTTACGATCATAGAGTAATTTTGAATACAAGGTTTGACACAGTGACCAAGAGGTTAACCAAAAATGCTGGGATCTGTGAAAGTGGGCCAGAAGATAGTGCTGTTGAAGAAAAACTGCTTTTATAGTGGTCGTGTGAAATATCATTCTGGACTGGGTGTGTTCGGGCATCGACCGCGTAGAGTGAATGAAGGCGGTATGTAAATTAATACGAGTACTAGATAGCTGACTGTCGACTTCTGAGTTGTGTAAGCAAAATATCAAGCTTCATTGGAGCAAACGACTAGCCATCAAGCTTGGAAACAAACAATATTGTTGTGCACAGGAAATTCCTTCCATACTACTGATAAAATGTTATAGGTTTTATAGATTAACATAAATTATCGCATGTTTCTAGGTTGGATGTTTCTGTATTTTAATATAAGATCAAAATCAAATACGATATGTGATTGATTTAAATTAAGTGTTTGTTTCAAAATGTCACAGAATACATAGTATAGTACATGTATAAGTTGAACCCTGCGCTTTCCGCTCTCCGAAAGACTCTATGTACCCTTAGCACAAACCAATATCGAATTCGTAACGTTTGCGAGTACGAAATGTCACTGTCAAATGTGTACTGATTTTTAGTTCTCGTTACGTACGTTATGGCGCTGCTGTTCAAGTTTCCATACAAAATTTGACAATGACATTTCGGACTCACAAACTATTCGAATTCGATAATGGTTCGCGCTTAGGGTAATGATGGCCACTTTACAGCTAAGACATTTTTGCCATAATATAAAACTTTTGTTTAAAGTGTTTCGTGTCCCAAAAGAAAGAAATGGAACTATTATAGGATCACTTTGGTGTCCACTTATCCGTCGGTCCATCTGTCTGTCTACCAAGAACTGACGACCCTTTGGTCCGGAAACGCGTTAAGGTATCCAGTTGAAATTAAACCATATACTTAGGTCTACGTACCCATGAAGCTTTAAAAAAATCGAGCTCCTAAGTTAATACAAAAAAGATAAGGCCGTTTATGCCACAAAATCGTACCTAAATTTGCCACTAGTATAGAGATCTTTCCGTTAACATAGAACTATAAAATTTAGCATGTACCTATTATTGTTTTTTTATGTATATGCTGTTGGTCGCAGATGACCTATACAGCGTCACCGGGTTTGGGGACGGCGAGATCCTAAGAGGACCTCAAGCCGAGAATAAAATTGGCGAATGCCTCTAGAGGTATTCTAGGCGGATAGCATCTCCCCACGGGGTGAGTTTCCTCTCCGTCTGGAGCCTCTAGACCACTCGAACCTGAGGGAGTCGGCTCAACTAGAGGGCGTCTCTGAGACTCGGACCTTGGCTCTAGTTAGCCGTTGTCGTGGTGGTAATATTGTGGTTTTTCTACAAAACATCTGACGGTTGTGACGCAAAAATCTTAGTTTTATCGCTTATCACCACCAAGTTCGAACCTTTCGCAAAGAAATTTCGTTTCAATAACATTTATTGCAAATGAGCAGATAATAAACAACAAAAATGTGATAATAAGAAAGACACGTACTAACTGCGACTCTCGTAACTAGATAAAATAATGAGGTTTTTTCTACAAGACTGACAATACTGGCTTACAATGAACACATTGCAACAAGCAACATAAAATTATTAAAACGCTACATTGAAACCTACTCGATGTAATAAGCACGTGTTTAATAGCAATAGCAAAATTCAGCACAACTATTTCCGGCTCCGGAAGTACTATCAGCCAAATTGATACATAAGCTTCTCAATTTTCTTAATATATCGGGAAATCGCAAGTTTCTGTTACATATTTCCGATTTTGTAAGTTATTTCGAAAGGACAATGGGCAAAACACACCCAGCTCCGCCAACAATGTAATTAGTATGAATCGATAGATCTATGAAAAACTAGCCTTTTTTTATTATGACACCGTAAAAAAATATCCTTGGAGTCAAAAGATATGACACCGTAAAAAATATCCTCGTAGTCAAAAAATATGACACACGGGCATATTTAAGTAGCTGGATAAATTCACCTTCATTTTATATTATTAGTAATCATAATAATATGTCATATCGTACTATACAAACAGATATACGACAAATTCTGCCGACCATCCTGCGCTTGCTCTTACTAAGACACCTCAAAACGGTTAACGGGGGTTGAAGGACTTGCAGTTGCAAATAGTCGACTTACTTCGTTGTTATTGTGCGCTCCCTGCCACTTGATTGATTTTTATCTAACACGCTTTGGATATTGGAACACGATTATCGGTTTTGTCAATTAGTATGGATGAACTGGAATCAGTGTTCTCCGAAGCGTGGACAAGTTTGTGTGATCTGTGGTCGCTCCGTTTTACATTAAAGACAATTTACTATAACAAACAGAATGATTGAAAAAACCCCAACCCATGCGGGGATTTACTCTAGCGCGACAGAAATATATAATTCCTGAACCCCCTATGTAGAGTCGAACTAACTCACTAAATCAATACCCTTGTTTCATTAATGTTCGTTCGTTAAAGTACTTGTTACCTATTTAACTTAAAATAACTAAAGACCCCCGGGATGGAATTTGATGCGCTTTGGCACAGATGATCTTGACTATAATACCTTTCAAACAAATGTAGTTTAAGCCGTGGCGAACGTGGGTGGAGCGTCCGTACATTTTTGCCCAATGTCCTTTAAACTACAATTCGAGTTTTATCTAAAAGATGATCTGAATAAAAATATAATAAAAGATGATTTTGAGAGAGAAGCATTGAAAACAAAATCAAATTTCAAAAATCTTGGATCCACCTCAATACAGTTTCCATGTTATTAGATGGCCCTAAGAGCAACGCATTCTCTATAGAGGAAATTTTGTCTGTTCTGATGTTTTTAAGTGGATTATCGCGCAAATGTTTCAGTAATCTATTTGTTCGATTGTAATATAATCTTTAAATATTTTGTGTGTCAGGAATGTCGTATACTTATGTAGAGCTCATAAATATAAAACTAAATTTAAAATTATATTTTGTATTTTATTATTATTATATCGGCCTGCCCCTCCTGGGAAACGAGCGTTATCTTGATATTTTTTGATTTATGATGTTTTTAAGGTAGGAAAACATAAAACACTACATAATTCTTCCCTTCTTTACTATTTCCCTATTTTCTTTAGAACCGCCAACGCATAAGTGGTGTTGGTGCCCTTTTGGTGCAAGTCTCCATGGGTGTCAATGTCCACTTACCATCAGATGGACAGCCAGCTCATTTGCCTGCATAAACATAAAAAAATGGCGCTAGACTCATACCTATATATAGGTCCAGGGGGCCATTCGCCTAACGGAATTGTTTTGGAAAACGTTAAAGCTTTCGATTTCATTTAGTTATTTCTGACCGCCGAAGGTTTTCAAATACCTCACGCTCATTTTTTTATATTGTTATTACCAATGCAATAGAAAAAAAAGAGCGCGAGGCATTTGAAAACCTCAGGCGGCTAGAAATAACAAAATGAAATCATAAGCGTTAGCGCTTTCCAAGGCATTTCCGTTAGGCGAATGGGCCCCAGGGGGGCATTCCCCTATTGGGATTGATATCGCTATCGCTTACGATTTCATTTTGTTATTTCTGACCGCTGAAGGTTTTTATATGCCTCACTCCCTTTGTTTTTCTTTAGCATTGGTAATAACAATATTTAAGCAAATTAGTGTAGGGTATTTGAAATCCTTCGGCCGTCAGAAAAAACAAAATTAAGTCATAAGCGATAGCGATAGGCATAGCAACCCCTTTAGGCGATTGGTCTCCAGCTGGCAGCCGACGGCATCGCAACTACTGCCGTCGTCACCTTTCACCTTTTGTCGACCCGTCGATGGCAGCCGTCAACCAGCCGCCGAGAGTGTGACGGCTACTGTCGACCCATCCAGGCTGAAAGATCGTCGGTCGGCCTGTAACTTTTCTTTCAGGAAATATTTTAAATAATAAACATTTTTTTTTTCAGGTAGTTTATCAGAGCATGTGGCGCGAAGAAGATACGAGAACTGCCGTGCTCACCGACTCGTGGACGCGTACCGTACACATGGACATCTTAAAGCGACAATTGACAACGTCGACTATCGCAAAGAAAACAGGTATAATCGTGAATTACCATCATTACTAGCTGTGCCCCGCGGTGTTACCCGTGGTTTTTAGAAATATTTTGCCGGAGTAAAACGTAGCCTATGTGTTAATCCAGGGTGTCAGCTAACTCCATACCAAATTTTTCATGTGTAACATCTTTCCTCTCGCTTTCCTGCAATTTATGGGAGTGATTTCGTGAAATGGAACAGAAGTGTGTAACAGAAAGTCGCGAAAGCGCGCGCTATTTGATTTGATTTTAGAACATAATGTTCGAATGGCTTATGCCTTTTGTAGTAGGTTTTATTTCTTTTTTTACTAATATAAGGTGAGGTTTCAAATCTTACACATCATACGCTACTACTGTAAAGCTCGCTCGATTTCATTAAAATCGCTCCAGCCGTTAAGACGTGAAGAAGTAACAAACATACACACCCACACACTCACAAACTTTCGCTTTCATAATATTAGTGTGATTTAAGAGAGTTAGGGCATAGCAGATTTCGCTCTCGAATTGGAGCGCCCACCTGGGGAAGTAACCTTCACCTCACAGAAGATCAGAATAAAATAACACTAGCTTTTGTTGTTGTGTTTCTGTCGATGAGTAAGGTTCCAGTGCTCCAAGGGGTAGGGGGTTGGATCGGGGTGGACAACGGTGCGATTGATAGTTTTGGTATCGCAAGCGTCTATAGACTAGGTCTGGACTTCACCATTACTTAACATCAGGTGGGGTGGAGTCATCTGTCGGACCTATCCATAAAGAAGAGAAGAAAAGAGGAGCTCGATGACGCAAGTGCTTAGCGCGTTCGGCTGCGATCGTTGAAGTTAAGTAACTTTCGCAGTGGTTGGTCATTGGATGGGTGACCAAAAATTTACTATCTCGAGCTCCTTCGTGCCTTGGAAGGCACTTTAAGCCGTTGGTCCCGGCTGCATCTGCAGTCGTTAGCACCCGCCAATCCGCACTGGGCCCGCGTGGTGGGTCATGGCCCAATCTCCCTATTCCATCCACAGGGAAGGCCTGTGCCCCAGCAGTGGCCATTACCATCAGACACGTCACACATTTGTTTGCCACCCTCTTAACATTAAAAAAAATCTTAAACCATTACCATTAGATATGTATTGGCCTAGTGATTGCTAAATACTCTAGATGCACCAAGTACCAACTGCTTTTTCTGTTTGCTAAAACCTTGTTTTTTTTCTTTTTAGAAGTCGTGATTTTTTATTTTTCGTAAACTTGACGGTGAATTGAGTTTAGTCCAGTTGCTGAGATAGACAATGCTGATGATAGTTTAACCGTAGAGGCAAATATAGGTGCTGTAGTAGCTACCCTCACTTTGCCTGCCTGATTACTTCACTCCAAACTTAAACTTCAAACATTTGAAAAGCTCTAATTACCTTACAGTTATCGTACTATTCGCATTCTTTGGAATTAATTCATCATCATCATCAACCTATTAATGTACCCACTGCAGGGGCACAGGCCTTCCCTATGGATGGCATAGGGAGCTTTGGCCATGATCTACCACGCGGGCCCAGTGCGGATTGGCGGGTGCTAACGACTGCAGATGCAGCCAGGACCAATGGTTTAACGTGCCTTCCGAAGCACGGAGGAACTCGAGATAGAAGATTTTTTGTCACCCATCCAATATGACCGACCACTGCGAAAGTTGCTTAACTTCAACGATCGCAGCCGTACGCGCTAACCATCTGCGCCATCGAGCATGTTTGGAAATAATTATTGGAATTCTTTGCCCTTAGACGTGTGCCTTCTTCCATACAACATGAGCCCATTTACAAGAGGTGTGAAGAAACATTTTTATACTATATTAAAGTTTAAAGTTTTATTCTGACGACGTAGCCTGTAAAGGCTACGAAACGTCAATAAATAAATAAAGTTTTCGTGCATTAACCCGTAAAAACTAGTTTTATTTAATGAGTGATGTGCGTGAAAACCTAAGAAACAAATATTTTAATAGTTATTAAAATATTCAGACCTTATCAACAAGCATAGGTGGTGTACTTGTAGAAAGCATCTCAGCTTTTTTTAAAGGAAATACTTTTTTTTATTAATGATTTTAAAAGTTTCACTTATATCTCGGTTTCATAAAACTACACCATTTTTTCGCTTCTGCTATCGTCGCGAGTGATCTCCACTTATGCAAATGGAGCCTGGGTTAACGTCTATACGTATGCCCTCGGAGCACGAACGAGCTGGACATAATAAATTGTTTCCAACCCATTGTAACTGAACGTTCTAACTACTTCGCCCTACATCTTTTTAATTACTTGCAGGGATGTCAATGAACTCCTATTGGCGAAATATGGCCTTTCGGCAGAGGACCAGGCAGACCTTGGATTGGTTTACGGGTCCAGTGGAAAAGAAACAGTGAAGAAACTCGTCGATAAATTAGAAAACATATACTGTGGAGCGATTTCTTACGAATTTTCTTATTTAGAGGTAAGCAAAGGTTAAAATAATAAATGATCTGTTTCTATTTTTTTAAATTTCTCTCCTCATGGGATAAAATAAAAATGAAAAGCTTTATAGCAAGTCGTCACCTATGAAGTTGCGTTGTAAATTCGTTTAATAATTATTAGAACAGCAACTACTACAGTAGGCAGTGATTCGACAAGACAAGGCTGACTAAATAATGTATGAATTATGAGGAGTCATCAGCCTTATTCAGGGGCCATATTATTGTAGTTATCAACGGAGATGGATATGTTCCGGGTTTCCCTGCGCGGTCGAATCAGAAATGATGAGATCCACAAGAGCCATGAGGTCACCGACATAGCCTAAAGAATTGCGAGCTTTAATTGGCAGCGGGCAGGACACATTGTAAGGAGAACTGGCGGAAAGGTCCTCGAGTGGCGGCCGCGTACCGGGAGACACAGCGTTGGTAGGCTCCCCACTAGGCAGACCGACGATCTGGTATAGATCGCGGGAAGCCGCTGGATGCGGGCAGCAAAGTCCGATCGGTTTGGTATTCTTTAAGGGAGGCCTATGTCCAGAAGTCGGCATCTCTCGGCTGATATGATGATGATGGTGATGATCAGTCTTGTTCTCTAAAAATCATTTAAGTATTTGACTAGTAAGTAGAGTAAAATATATAAGAAAAAGCTTTAAAGATCTAGAAGTTGAATGAATAAATAACATTAATGCCATTTCTGATTCCAGAACGAGTCAGAAAGAGAATGGTTTGCCAGAAGAATAGAGAGCGAGCAGGTCGGCCTCAGTAAAGCGAGGAGGATAGAGATAGCAAGAGAGATGCTGCAGTCGCAGGCGTGGGACAAATTCTTGGGCGTCAAGTATCCCACCGTGAAGAGATATTGCGGGGAGGGTGCCGAATCTCTGCTCACATTTTTCTCGGCATTATTCAAACTCACTACAGCAGGTTAGTTATTTAAAATAAAATTTTTAAAACACTTGCCATAAAATCCCTTGTATAGGCGAGGTTACATAGTGCGAGCTGCAGATGTAACAATACACAGCTACTGTATCCCTGTACTTGCATGGCAGTAGCTCGACTCGTTTCACCGGGTCACAAAAGTGCGAGCTACCGAGTTGAAAGTAGATGCATCTGTGTACTCACCTTCTAACTTCTTATGTGTCAAGTCTCTTGCAATGTACGGACGAACAACTATCTGTATGCAAAAATGTGCGAGCCGACGTCCTAGTTAGGCTTGCTAGTTGGCCGGGAAATCCGGGATTGTCCCAGAATTTTGCGTCTTGTCGCGTGTCCAGTAATTAGACCTTATTGTGCCGGATTCCGATAATTTGCTAGTTTCGTAACAAAATAAACTAATAACGAATGACACCGCTGGCCGGCTTTATGTTTTAATAGGGGTGATGACGGGGTACAGTAAACGAAATTCCATTTAGTCCGTCAGTTAGATGATCAAAAAATAAATAATTTCTTTGGGCAATCAACCAAAAAATGACAAAGTTATAGCGCGTCAAAGTTTGGGAGTAGGGGCTCGTGACGTCACTTTTGAGTGAATTTTCCCTTATAAGTGTACTCAAACGTGACGTCAGGCGACTTTTTAAATCAATATATCTCTGCAATGTTTATATTATGTGAAAAAAGAAAAAATACGTGTCCAATACTTTTTGATAATCTACCTGATAAACGAAGAAAAAAAAATTTGTTATCATCCCTATTCTGGAGGGTGATGGAGGGTTTGATTTGATGCTTTATTTTTTCAGTCCCAGGTTGATAAGCCAGCATCTGGCAACCCTGGTGCGAGTTGCTACTTGTGCGTAGTAGGAGAAGACAAGTACAAAAAATTTTGTTGTAACTCGGATGCGAGCCTTTAACCGACTCACACATGAGAGTAACTCGTATAAATGGAGGAGTAGCTGTAACTGAACTGGCTAGGCCAGCTCGCACTGTGTAAACTAGGCTTAAAACGTGATTCCATAGGCAAGTTACTTGAATGCAACTCAAGCAAACCTGCATACAAGCTACAAGTTGCGTATAGCTTGTACGTTTTTATTCGAGTGACGCGCAAATTGAACGCCGAAACGTTAGTTAGTAGCAAGTTCAAATGTAACCTACTGAGTTGGGAACATCTCCACTAACATACAAATTAAAACCTGCATTCAATTTGCACATTTTCGACAACATATTTCAAATTACATCAATGCAAGCAACCTGTACGAAAATGTGACGTCATACTTGCATGCAACACTTGCCGAATGGAATCGCGCCCTTACTGTACGCTCAACTTGACGGAGCAAACTGTGTGTATGTAAGTGTGCATGTTCGAAGGATTTTAATAGGTAGGTACATACTTTTAATGGCATTGTCGAATGAACAACCATAAAATATGAAATCCAAAAACTGACTGGCTGACTGAAAGTTCAACGCTCTATCAAACCCCCGGGGTCTAGGAACATGAAATTTTTAACAAAGGTTTCTTTAATAACAATAGTCAAAACGTATACCTGTTAAATTTATAGTAAAAACTAAGACGGGATTTTTGGAAATTCATCCCCTAAGGAGTCAAAAAAGGGGATAAAAGTTTATATCAAACTTTGTTAATGCTAAGCTTTAAACGGAAATCCATTCCCTAATGGGTTAAAATAACGGATCAAACTCTGTTGATTAAAACTCCTTCTGTTTTGGAGCCAGAAATCTGATTATTTATAATTCGCTTATGATTAGCAACAAAGTTTTACTTTTCTTTTTGAATTTCATACCCTAAGAGAAAGGAGATTAAAGTTTGTATAAAACTTTGTTAAATTTAGATACAAATGTGTAAATTGGTAAATGAAGGTTTATAGTTATGGGCTTTAAATTTTTACTTATTCATACACGAGGAGTTGAATAAATATTTATTAATAAAATTACTTCAGCGGTGCTATTCTGTAAGAACCTTTCACTTTTTTGTTGTGGAATTCGCGTGTGAATTGCAATTGGAATATAAAGATTGATGTAATTTGAAATTCGTGTTCTAATTTAAAATCACAACCTGGATTCCGAGGTAAAAAGTCAGTTTGTTCTTACTGAATATCACTGAAGAACTGAAAGAAAGAAAGGTGCCTCTTCACAATGGCCCATGATGGGCGATTAAAAAAATTACCCATCATCGCGTTGCTCTCTGCACAATCGTGACTATTCATTTACATCGCCGTGGTCTGTTGAAGATGGATGTCAAAATGACAGCGCCTGCTGCTATCTATATGCTCAGTATATTAAAATCATTATCGGATTGTGCATCAAATAAGTGCAAGTTCAACTTGCATGGAAATACTTCCGTTCGCAGAAATTAAATCTAATCCAGATTTGTTTGCAGTAACTGAAAAAAAGTTGCTTGAGTGTTGTGTAACTCTCGCTTAGAACAAAGTAAAGAATATGTATATATACGATGTATATATACATATTACGTATATATACATCGTATACACAGGTGTATACGCCCCACCAATTAGCACTGGGTCCGCGTGGCGGTATGGCCCAATCTCCCTATTTCATAAAGAAGTATAGTACCGACCAATTCGCATTGATCCCAGTGCGGTGCCCTATGTCGCTGTTACCTGAGGGAACTTCCATACAACTTTAGCACCCTTTGGATTTAATTTAAACACACGTTCTCGAGCCTCGTTTTCTTCCTTACGACTGAGAAATGGGCTATTGCATCCCTTTGATGTACCGACAATTTACCGATTATTCACGAATACAAGCGATGATGGCCACCCATAGATGATTATGCCCTCTACACAATCGTGCGTGGCTACAATCGCCCATCATGGGCCATTGTGAAGAGGCACCTTTAAGTTCTGCAGTGCTATTCAGTAAATAGAAACTCACATTTCACCACGGAATCCAGGTTGTGATTTGAAATGAAAACACAAGTTTCAAACTGTCATCAATCTTTATATTCTAATTACAAATGCCTCGCGAATTCCACAGTGAAAAGGTGAAAGTTTCTTACAGAATATCACCGCTGAAGTAATTAATTTTACTAACAAAATTATAATGAAAGTGACTGTTACAAAGCACTTTTAGAGATTCGAGATAAAAATAAATAATAAGTACTTGTGTTTCATATTTTTCGAAGTGGAAAGTAGGAACGTCTTTTCTGAGTTGCTGCCGCATCCGATTCCTCACCTGAATGGACAGAGTACATTTTGATTCAGTCGAATTGTAGGACTATGAACTCATTGGAATTACAATAAGGTGCATTGTTTAAGATACAATCACGTTTTAGATGCTCCTTTGCATTAGGTATAAGAAGACGTATTTACGATATACTTTGTAACGAACATTGAAAAGTCTATATATCTTGTACCGTAGCCGAGAATTTCCAATTTACGTTCATAACACTTGATGTAGGTTACCCTACATACTTATTGTAGGGGTGATATTTTAGTATACTTAAAGATGTTCTTGATATTTTATATCTAGAGTGGGAGACGGTTTGGGCACTAGGTAACCATTATGTTCGATTTCAAAAACCCCCATAGATATTAAAAGGGGTTAAAAATATCATATTTTTGAAGTATCCCACAGGTTCTACTATGTTTCTGAAATAACAAGTGTCTCAATCTGTGTACCTACCAGACTTATTTCATTCAAATCCGCTTAGCGTGCTTGACAAGAATCTTATAATTTTCCGTTTTAGCGCGTCCGAGTTACAAAACAAACATTCAAACATGCGAAATTTATATATTATATAATATATTTACACATAATATTATTAGTAGATGCAAAAGTAGTTTCGATTTATGCGGGAAATAACCAGTGTTTATTCCCCCCTCCCCCCCCCCATTTTTAACAAACACAAAATCTACCCTGAATCCATTTTAGCAAAATAAGGAATCAGAAAGCTATAATTCGCACTGACATAAAAGTCGTAGTTAAGTTTCAAGCACCTTAGCAAGTTTTAAGGCTTTCTTTCAAACACCTTACCAAGTTTTATCCGCTAAAAACACGATTTTGATCTCCGAATTTGGGTAAGTAGGTCTGGTGGTCGAAAGCAATCATTTTTTCTATATAGTAAAATGAGCTCCTCATTTCCTTGGCCATACCATAACTTGAGAATTATTTTAACCATTTCTGTCTTCTTTTTAAATTTTCTAATATTTTGTAGAATAAAATTTTATTTCTTACGGAAAAATAAACTTGGGTGAAACAAAAGTTAATCATCTACGGCTAAATGCGAACGAAATAAAAAATCCGTTAGTTTTTGCCTCGTATTTAGTTTGCATTTTATCCATTTGACATAAGGTTCATTACGCTGTGCACAATTTCGAAGCAAAAATTCGCACTCATTCCATTGTAGGGTAGTAAATTATAAATGGTCTAAGTATTTCATATAATGTTGTTTTCAGAGGGTGTTGAACATGTGATTGTAGCGATGGCCCATCGAGGCAAGCTGAACGCTTTGACAGGAGTACTGAAATGTCCTCCGGCGAAGATCTTCAACAAGTTCAGCGGTCGACCGGAGTTCCCGGAGGACGCCAACTCTACCTGCGACATTACCACACACTTGAGTGAGTAATTAAACATAAGGAACAACCGCACATTGAACCACTACTCGCGGTAACAAAACGCGAAATGTGAAATGGAAACACTGCTGATTTCGTTGGTGATTATTGTACTAGCACGTAAAAAGTCTCATCGAATTCAAAACCATCGACATACGATTCAGAGTAGTACTGTACACCTAGCACGAACCATTATCGAAAGAAAGAAAGAAAGAAAGAAATTTTATTTGTAACAACATGTGTAAGTAAGATTGTCAGTGATAATTATCTAAGTACATAACATGTTGTGCCAATATCGGCATACAAATTAATTATTATTTATATTCATTATTATCATTCTAAGATTCAAATTACAAAAATGAAAAGGTCAATACAATAAAAAATGACAATAAATTGGGCAGAAACTGTTAATACATGTCAAAACTGTCAATTCAATAATTAAATGTCAATAAAATTGGGCAACTAAACAAAATACTAATAAATTCAAATTTAAATTGAGTAATAGTTGCATTTCAAATGTCAATTTAATAATCAAATGTCAATAAAATTGGTCAAAACTATATATAACATGTCAATATGTACTTGCAATTCAAATAGTAGAATAAAAATAAAATAAAATCACAATTTGTCAGTTAAAAAATCTGATACAGCATAATAACATTTATCAGTTAATAGTTTCTTAATTTTCTGTTTAAACACATTATAATTTAAATCTTTCAAAGATGTTGGGAGTTTATTATATATTCTAGGAGCCATACAGAATATATTATTTCCCATTAGGGCTGTTCTGGAGTTGGGCATGCAAAGTCTACTGTTATCACGTCTGTGGCGATCTAGTACATCTGCCATTTTTACAAATAGGTGCATGTTCTCTTTTACAAATAAGAGGATTTCAAAAATATACAAAGACGGAAGTGTCAGAATCTTATATTTTAAGAAGTAAGGTTTACAACTATCCGTAGTTTTTAAATCAAACATGGCTCTTATGCATCTTTTTTGCATTTTAAATGCTAAATCTTTGTCAGTAGAATTCCCCCAGAAGATAATACCGTATCTCAGAATTGACGCAGCTAAGCCGTGATATGCAGTGAGCAGGGCGTCTGTGTTCAATAAGGAGGAAAGTTTAAACAACTCATAGGCCGCACTGCTGACTTTCTTACTAAGGTATTCTATGTGAGGTTTCCAATTTAATCTAGAATCTACCATTATTCCGAGAAATTTGACGCTTTCAATTTCGCGTATGTCAACATTTTGTTGATCAATTTTTAAACATATATCATTATTTTTACGTTGACTAAATTGCATTAATTGAGTCTTTTCAAGATTTATTTTTAAATTATTATCATTTAACCATGAAATAACAGATGTCAGAGAATTCTTAATGGCATGTTCATAAATGTCAGGATCTTTACAGGGAATTGTCAAAGTACTGTCGTCAGCGAACAGAGTAATTGGATAGTCAACAGATTTAGGTAAATCATTAATATACACGTTGAAAAATAATGGACCAATCGCACTCCCTTGAGGAACTCCATATTTAACCGTGCGCGTTTCTGAATAATAATTTTCTTCAATATGTGATTTTGTATTAATTTGTGTAATGACAGTATACTGTTTTCTATTTACTAAATAACTTTCAATCAATTTCAGAATATTTCCTCTAATACCGTATGCGTCAAGTTTTTTTAATAAAATGTCATGATTTACGTAGTCAAAAGCTTGTGTCATATCACAATATATTGCAGAAATAGGGTTTCTTTTGTCCATATTAGTTATTATATTATGTATTAAGAAATTCGAACAGGGCTTTGTTAATATTTTTATTTTGACGGAATCCATTTTGTTCTTTACACGAAATATTTTTACTTTCTAGATAGTTATAAATTTCTTTATAAATATATTTTTCGAAAACTTTTGATATTATTGAATTTATGGCAATCGGTCTATAGTTATTTATTAACAATGTATTTCCTTTTTTAAATAATGGTTTGATTATAGATGTTTTAAGTTGATCTGGATATATACCAGAACTAATGCTCACATTAATAATATGACTCAAATGACCACTTATCAAATCCCCCACTGACTTAACTATTTTAGTTGATATACCATCATGCCCCTCGCTATTTGTATTTTTCAAATTTTTTATAATATTTAAAATTTCTTGAGGTATACTGGGTGCCATAAAAAATGAATCTCTTCTATTTTCTAATTTGGAGGATTTATATGATTTAGAAACCGATGTCGAAATTATTTTGTCAATGAAATAATTATTAAAAATATTGGCTATATGTTCTGGATTCACAATAGTTTCGTGGTTAGCATTAATTTCCAAAATATGATGTTTAGGAACATTAAGCCTGGTTTTATTTATAATAGACCAAGTAGATTTCGACTTATTTTCAGAATGTTTTATTAGAAAATCGTTCTGTGCTCACTGTGTAAGTCGAATAATTTTTTTGTACAGTTTTTTGTATTTTACTAAAATGTCTTTATTTATGTTTGTTGGCTTGAGTCGATAATTCCAAAGAAGTCGTCTTTTTTTCTTACTGCATATTTTAATACCTTTGGAGCCCCACTTGGGCTTCCTGATAACAGATATAGTGATTAGCTTACATGGAAAACAAAGGTCATAAAATAACTTAAAATAATTCATGAATGAGGAAAATGCAGTGTTTGGATCATCTGTGTCGTATATTTCTGAGAACGATAACTTCATGAGGCAATCCCTAAATTTTGTAATATTTTCGGCACTATAATCTCTACATTTTTTTCGCCAAAATTTCAATGCATGTACATTCTTCACAGAACAGGTCAATAGTTGAGCAGTATGATCGGATAAAGCTAATTCTATCACCTCCGTCCTGCACGCCTTTAGAAAGTTATGGGCAAAATTATCAATACATGTATGGCTTATCAAACTGGTTGGCTCTTTCAATGCTAATTTTAGATTATAATTAAGAAGAAGACATTCAAACTCTAAAGTAATATTGTTTGTTTTTAGTACGTCAATATTAAAATCACCTGCTATAATTTTTCGACTTTGTGAAAACAGACCTTATTTCTTTGAGTCTACGCACAATTCTGAATGCGCTGTTACCAATACATATAGCAGGTACGGACCGCAAGGAAAAGAGACGGCTATATTACCGACCATGCATTTGAATATTGCAAATATTTTCTATTAAATCAGTTACTTACTATGTATTAGAACAAAAATTGCTTCAAATACGTTAAATTAACAAACATGGCTTAGGTACCTGTCGAAAAAACAACACTTTACGTACTAACAGTACGGAGCTCTGTGTTATCTTGACTTTTTAACGGTCCGCGCGTGTCTGTGAACCAGGAAGTGCTTGAGCGGTGTTCAAACCCTTCTTGGTTGCTTGGGACAAATTTTGTGCGCAAATGGTGTATCTACGAGTAAGGTATTTAATATCGTTGTTTGTAATGGAAAAAAGTACCTTAGGTAATAGGAAAATTTGTTTACGTTTATAGGTGCCTCGGTGGATATTGCTGTTAACGAAAAATCAGTAAGATTCTCGCTTTTGAATAATCCTTCGCATTTAGAGGTAAGTTCAAAAATCATCAATAGTTTAATATACTTACATCTAATTTATTGTTTAAAACGTATCTTACCTACAAAGTTCATCCCCGAGGTAATAGAAAATCAAAATTTTTGGACCAGGTCCAATTCAATATTTCTTTAGATGCCCTACCACCAGTAAAGGATATTTTTAAAATTCACTTTTTAAATAACACAAATTAATAAACTACATAATGTCTAAAATTTACGATCCAAATATCCTTAACCCACTTACCCAACTTAATGAGCCGTTTTCTCGTGGTCCTACAAGTAGGATAAATTATTAAATGATACATTTTTATGTACCCTTATGTCTAGTTCAAAAGTATCATTATTAGGTTTAAAAAAAACAAATTAAACGGTTACCGCAGTATATAGCGGTTAGTGCATCCGCCCGATCAGCCGAAGACGCAGGTTCGAGTCCTGCCTGAAACCGTGACCGATTCGAATTATTTAAGGTAAATGTTTCTTTAGTTTTATAAACCGAGCAGAATCCGGCTGCTCTAAACTAAATTAAAATATCTGCAATTTTGCAAATATTACAGGAGAACAAAATAACGTTTTTTTTTTCTTAAAAATCAATTAAGTATCTAAAAATGTACCTATTGAAGTGATTTTTTGAAATGTTACTGTAATTTACCATTAACCATTTTAAAGTATGTCTGGTTTGATCGAAGGGTTTGACATACTTGATTTTTTTTTCTATGAAAAACTTGGTTTTAGCTTGATTTTTTTGTTATAATTGAGGTAATTGAATCCTTTTTTTCTAAAAGCTTTAAAACCAAAAAGTTACACATGTTTTCTTTTAATGTAAAAATGTGCATCTTTTGATAAAGAATCCGACGGTGTAAAAATAAAACATATTTTCGAGATTCTAGCTTAGTGCAGCCGAGATGATATTATGATCAAAATATTATATTTTCAAAAATAATCTAGAAAAATCTGGTGTGATTGTAACGCAGTAGGACTACGAGGAACTAGGCATTTAAATTTTTTATAATTTAACCCCGCATTAAGGCAAATTAGTAGGACCACAAGTGGAACGGCCCTTAAATGTTATATAATTCCCTTTTTTTATATTTTTGTCTTTTTTCAGGCAGCAAATCCAGTATCGATGGGAAAAACAAGATCGAAACAACTTCAATTAAAGGAAGGCGACTATTCAATCGATGGATCGTCACAAATGGGAGACAAAGTCATAAATGTGCAGGTACGCTATTTTTTATATAAATTGCCAGGTAAATCTACCCCACCTGATGTTAAGTGGTAATAAAGTCCAAACACGAATATAGCAGGTACAGCAGTTATAAACTGCCACACCAACCATCCTCACCTTGCCGGCCTGTAAAAATGCTTCTTCACGCCTCTCTTAAAGGACCCCAGATTGTAGGAAGGAGGGAACACGAGCGCCAGCAAAGAATTCCAATAACGAATATTACGTAGACCAAGGCCAGCCGATTGCCAGATTGGTATAGGCTGATGACCTGTTCCACAATTCACCTTTGCTGTCTTAAAAGGAAATTTCATTTCATTCAATATTTTTATCAGATCCACGGCGACGCAGCTTTCACTGGGCAAGGTGTGAACCAGGAGACCCTCATGTTATCTCAAGCTCCGCACTTCAACGTCGGTGGATCACTCCACGTAGTTGTCAACAATCAGGTCTGAATTTATTTTAAACATTCCAAAATTATCCCTTGTGTATGAGTTCCTATATAGAGGCAATTTAACACACCAACACATTTCACTGAGCCAGACGTGTTAACTCTTTCAAAGTCCACAGGCATTTTGTTTTTATTAGCAATAAGTATTATTTATTGAAATAATACCACCCACCAAGTAGGTCAAGGCCCATCTCCTTATTCCATCCATAGGGAAGGCCTGTGCCCCAGCAATGGGGACATTAATAAGTTGTTGATGATTTAAAAAAAACGACGGGTTGCACTTCGGGAGTGCCGGCAGAAGTGAAAACTTGAATATTAACGTTGTGCATTTTTGATATTTTAGAATGGTTAGGTAATAATTTTGCACGAATATCTTTAATTTATCAGTATATAAGTACTATCATGTATGTGGTAGAATACAATCTTTCTTTATTGCGCTATCGTACACAAACATGACAATTTATATTACATTAAAAAAGTTTATCTCCCAGAAAAATTAACCTACATGAATCACGTTTAAGCGCACTTAGCGACATCTATTGTAAAAAAATGCATTTTCTTCGCAATAAAGCTGTCACGTGGACGTCCTAGATAGAGACTTATTATTATAATACGGTAAAATAAAATATTACTATGTTTCCAATATATTGAAAGTCAACAACCTTGCCAATTTTATTGTGTGTCATGATGCGATCAGCCCACGTGTTTAACCTGAAGCGAGTTTAACATTTATTACACATACAAAAAAAAGTGTACAAAGCCGCTAAAGAAGTTTTCAGTTCAAAAATACTTTCTAAAATTTGCGTTTCTAGATAAAGATTGTTTGTTATTCTAGTTAGTTCTTTAGACTAGGTTAGGGCATGTAGCCCCTTATTAATAAACGAATAATAAGCTTGGGTTAGTTACTCCATGTTTTATCTCTGTTCATTGAATGACAAATGGCATTTGTGTGATATGAACAAAACACGGAGTAGCTAGTCTAAGCTTATACCTCGTTTATTAATAAGTGGACTAGCGTTTCTAGTACTAAGTAAAACTAAAAATATTTAAAGTCTCATAAGTTACCCAAGAAATGGACGAAAAAAAACTTATTTCATTTAAAGTTTATTCTAAGGGTTCGTGGATTTAATCGATCGGGGGCTTATTAAGTAAACTTTGTAACTTAGGATTGGCATCACTTTTTTGTTATTAAAAAGAACGTGAATTTACAAGAATACCTACGATAAAGTTAACTACCTACTTTATGTAATCAAATATATTATTTTAGCTATGAATAATCTTTGTAAAAAAATACAAAACATTATACTAATGGAAAACTATGGTGTAAGCAAAATATCTCCGACGACCTCCGTGGCCGAGTGGTTTGTACGCCGGGTTTCATGGCTGTCGCCGACTCGAGAAGTCCCGGGTTCGAATCCCGGTGGGGGCAGATGTTTGTGTGATGAATACGAGCATTTGTACTCCAGTCATGGATGTTTAATATGTATTTATATAAATATACTTATATATGTACAGTATATGTATTCTATCCGTTACCCTAGCATCCATAACACAAGCCTTATAGTGCTTACTTTGGGGCTAGGCTAATTGGTGTGAGTGTCGGAAAAAAAAATATATATATAAGCAGTGTATGACCAGTTAAACCTGGAATGAAACATACACGTACTGATATTTTTGTATATTTTTCCGAACAACTGACTATGAATACATTTACAATGTGTCAAACCCTGTATGTGTGACAGATTACTATAACTATATCTAGCCAGTATGACTTATATACATCCTCCAACACATACAAATGAATGGGGATAATGACAAACATTTTTCTTCGTCGATCAGGTAGATTATCGAAGAGTAATGAACACGTATGTTTTCTTTATTCACAAAATCAAACCATTAATGAAATGAAATGAAATTATACTTTATTTCAAATTGACTTATTGCAAGCTCTTTTAAATCATCCAATGTAATTTCCTAACATCCCTTCAGGACATCTTTTAGCTGATGAGAAGAATGGGCGCAAGAATCGCATCAGCATTTAACAATAGTAGCAACATTTACAATCAAATCATGTCGCTACCAATACAACGTACACAACATTTTGATTGCTGTGTCATACAGTTTAAATACAAACATTTCTGTTAGGTATTAATCATTCAATATATTACAGAGATTATATTCATTTAAATGTCGCATGACGTCACGACTTGGTACAATTTTTACTTAGAAGTGAGGCCAAGCCCCCAATTTAGACGCGCTTTATCTCTGCCTTTTTTTGATCGATTGACAAAAAGAAAATTATTTATTTATTTACTTTATAACCCTATTAATTTTCCAACTTTGACAGAATAGCATAAGGATGATGTGGGATCAGGTCAGGTCAGGTGATTATCAAAATTACTAATGAATGGAACTTCGCAGGTTGGATTCACACTGCCTGCATCTAGAGGCCGTTCCTCCAGATACGTGACGGACTTGGCGAAGGCCATAGCAGTTCCTGTTATTCACGTCAACGGAGACTATCCAGAGGTGCGGAGATTTTAATACTATCTTCTATACATCTTCTATACTCTATACATATAAATGAAATTGGAGTGTCTGTTTGTAATATTGATATAACAGCTTTTTACTTCTTGCATATGAATATATATACGGTACATACACCAAAATAACATTTTTTACAATTTTTGTATGTCTGTTTGTTCCGTCTAATCTCTGAAATAGCTGGACCTATTTTTACGGGACTTTTATTGGCAGGTAGCTGATGTAATAAGGAGTAACTCAGGCTTCTTTTATTTTAGAAAAAATCTTTTATTTAAGAAAAAAGAACCTAAAAGTTAACGCGGACGAAGTCGTGGGCGGCCGCTAGTTTCAAATAAATATAGGCAGATACATTTTATTCTTCCGGCTCGTAGGACCATTGATGATTTAACCGATTTTGGAGTGTATGCAGATTCTCCTTTTTTAAGGTTCCGTACACAAAGGGTCATAACGGGATTCTGTTTCTAACCCTGTCCGACTGGCTGTCTGTCTGTCACCAAGCTGTATCTCATGAACCGTAATAGCTAGAAAGTTGAAATTTTCACAGATTACGTATTTAATTAGCCGTTATAACAACCAAATACAAAAACAGAATAAAATAAATATTTAAGAATTAGCTCCCATACAACGAACGAGATTTTTGCCGTTTTTTGATCGATATTACAATATAGTGTCTAATTTTATACTTATATTAGATAATGGTACGGAAACATTCGTGGTCATTTGGCCGGGTTTTTTTTAAATTTTATTCATTATTTGTATTGAACAACATTCTGTTGATCCGACAGCTGGTAGAGAAAGCCACGAACATTGCGTTCGAATATCAACGCAATTTCAGGAAGGACGTGTTTATAGACTACAACTGCTACAGGAGATGGGGACACAATGAGGTGGATGACCCGACGTTTACAAACCCGCTGCTGTACAAGATCATACATAATCGGAAGTGAGTATTTTTCTCAATGTTCTTTGGAACTACCTTTTTTTTGTCTGGGAAATGCCTTAGCCTCACGCATCCTTCAACCAGAGCAGCTCGGTGCCGCAAGTGGTTAGCGCGTTCGGCTGCGATCGTTGAACTTAAGCAACTTTCGTAGTGGAATTGGATCATTGGATGGGTGACCAAAAATTACTATCTCGAGCTCCTCCGTGCTTCGGAAGGCACGTTAAGCCGTTGGTCCCGGCTGCATCTGCAGTGGGGACATTAATAGGCTGATGATGATGATGATCCTTCAACCACCGGGGGAGCGAGAAGAAGGTATGAGGGACTCCTCCCTGCTCATTACAGCCAGCCGTTGGGCCGGGTGAAATGAGCAGGGCCCTACCCAACGCCCTGAACAGGGCCACTAAAAACCAGACAATGATCCTGCACCGATCACCAAGCGTCCATTCTGAGGACCGCAGTCCCCCCAATTGCTTGTGCAATGCGAACCAGACCCCCCCCCCCCCCCCGGGCAGACCCGCGGCATCACAGGAGTGGGAGGGAGAGCGTAGTTCTCTCCGTACCTCTCCCACCCCCCCTGGGCCCTAAGAAGGGCTGTTTGAGCATCTACCGCCAATCGCAGTAATCAGAGTCACTGTGAGGTGATGCTCCTACCCTGGTCTTGTGAAGGATTCCAGGGTCTTTGGAACTACCTAAATGTTAGAGAAAATTATTTAGTAGAACAGTGAAAGCTTATATATGTCAATAAAATCTTGTACAAAGAAAAAATAAGTGTAGTTTCATGAAACTACGAAGGAAATGAAACTTTTAAATTATTAAAATAAAAAAATATGAGCACGGACCCACATATCTGAAGTGTAACTTCTTTGCTCAAATAACCTTACATTAAGCGGTGCATTAGGCATAGGGGAAAAGAGCAGCACACGCATCACTCTTCATCATCAGCCTATTAATGTCCCCACTGCTGGGGCACAGGCCTTCCCTATGGATGGAATAGGGAGATTGAGCCATGACCCACCACGCGGGCCCAGTGCGGATTTGCGGGTGTCCCCGGTTGGGTGTACGCATCACTCTTATATATGTGTTTGTTTTACGTTTTATATGTATTCCTATATAAATAAGCTTATATATTGACAGTATATGTATTCTTTTCGTTACCCTAGCATCCCATAACATGTCTCACAGCGCTTAATTTGGGGCTAGGCTAATTGGTGTGAGTGTTAGAATTATTTATTTATTATCCAAAGTTTCTCTCTTTGAATATATCCATTGCATATATTTTTACCATAATCATTACACCCCTTTATTGTTCCTCGTATTTATTTATTTCACTGTCATGGGTTACCTGGAAGAAATTGCTGTTTAGCAATAAGGCCGCCTATTGCGTACGTTTTCACTGTCATGTTTAATGTCTTATATGTCCTGTGAAGTGTATGTCAATAAAGGATATTAGTATTATTATTACTATCAAGGCTGGGTTGTTGATTGGAATATTTTTGTTAGATCAATCCCAGATTTATACGCGGAGCAGTTAGTATCAGAAGGAGTGATGTCTGAGGAAGATGTCTCCAATATATTGAAAGACTACACGCAGTTTTTGCAGTCGGAGTATGATGCTTTAGCTTCCTACAGACCTGAGGTTTGTATATAGTTTATTTTATTTATTTAAATCTATAAAGATACATTTTAATTTAAAACCTTTCATCATCATCATCAGCATCTTAATGTCCCCACTGCTGGGGCACAGGCCTTCCCTATGGATGGGATAGGGAGATTGGGCCATGACCCACCACGCGGGCTCAGTGCGGATTGGCGGGTGCTAACGACTGCAGATGCAACCGGGACCAACAGCTTAACGTGTCACCCATCCAATAACCGACCACTGCCGAAAATTGCCTAACTACAATTTAATAGTAGTTCTTTTTGAAATTGTTAGCATTCGTGATTAATCTCTTTGGTGAATAGGAACCTTAGTACTTACCCAAATATTCAACAAAAAAGAGAGCATTCTTTATCATTGAAAGCTAGAAATATAAAAATATATGGATATTTCAATAGACTCATCCCGTCGCAATTACTTAAAAACATACTTACCTACAATATTCTATCAAGAGTTTATACAGATTTCAAGTAAATTTTTAGTCTCATATAATAAGAAACATTTTTTCAGATATAAATTTAGCATGAGTTTGCTTTTATTCCTCTGTTTACTATTTCTGTTTTTGCGTTTACAGATTTCATATTTCCAAGAACAATGGTCAGCAATGAACTTAGCACCTAAGGCGATTGATACTTGGGATACAGGTGTTGACATTAACTTATTGAAGCTTGTTGGACAAGCTTCCGTTCGCACACCCACACAATTCGTAAGTTTGAAATATTATAAAACTATGTTACACTTAGACTTTGGATCAGATCAGCAGAAGGATTAGAAGTCAAGTTATAGAGAGGCAATAAGCTATAAGATAATGCAAAATACTTTGTTGAACATAGCTGACCTAATTATATAAAAACATTTAAAGTAATACCTAATTTATAATTTCTTTTTGTCCAGCTGTATTGTTAATAGAGATGGGCCGACTAACCGCCGACTAGTCGGAAAAGACGACTATTCGGCATCATTTATAGTCGGCGACTATTCGGCAAAACATGCCGATTATAATCGGCACATATCAATGAAGTAAAACTCAAAACTTATGCTTGTTTTGAATATTTAAACAGTATCTAGCGTATGTATTTAAATTTACCTACAGTGTTAAAATATAAAAAAGGTAACACAATGAATATCGCACATAACAAAATAGCAATGGGAAGTAAGTATGTATTAATCAAGTAAAATCTTAAGTGCTAGCGAGTCTTAAAGAAGTCCATAGGTATTTTTTTTTTCTTAAGAGGTAAGGGGCTGTTCAAGTATTACGTAAGCACTATAGGGGGGCAGGGGGGTCTTTGCTTTACTTATTTTTGATGACATGGGGGGGTGGGGGGTAGAGATGGTGATGACGTCAGCATCATCGATTAAGTACTGCTGCTCATGAAGCTCATGAAAGCTCATGAATCAATAAAAAAAACAGAATACATTAAAGGAAAAATGCATATAGGTACCAATGTTTACGTAACGATGGGGGGAGGTGTAAGAGCTTTGCTTACTTTTGCTGACGAGGGGGAGGAGGGGTAAATAATTGTAATAATCTGCTTACGTAATACTTGAACGGCCCCTAAATTGTGATTTTGGAACTCTCTCGTGTCGTACGTGAGTAAGCTGAGTATTGACGAAATATTCCGAACACCTTCCTAAGATGGGCATTAGAATGATCGGCATTGCAGAATAGTCGGCCGACTAGTCGGTAATTCGAAAACCGATCAGCCGGCTAGTCGGTAAATCGGCAAATACTATAGTCGGTCCATTTCTAATTGTTAATAATAAATGGCGAAATGCGAGTCGGAAATGTTGCAACGTCTTAGGTAACTTTTCATGGATTTGATTCCAATTTTCCATAACTTATTTACCTACATTTCAGAACATCCACAGTCATTTATCTAAAACACATGTAAAAAATCGATTAAATAAAATTACTGCCGAGAAAGATATAGATTGGGCTACAGCTGAAGCTTTCGCATTTGGTGAGTAAAAATTTTATATTCTGTACATTCAAAACTTTATCAACATTAGGTACCTACCATTATCGCCACTACTACGAAGTAAGGGAAAAAATCAAGCTACTTGTAAGCATAACATTAAAATCACAATAACATAATAACAAAAACACTTGTTTGTCAATAAAGTCTGTGCGGAAAGAGAATGAGATTTAGATTGGAGTGCGCTGTAGTGATTTTCTACCGTATTTGTAAGGTTTTACCCCTTTAAGACATGATTAAATACAAAAAACCGCAAGAAATCACAACAACAAACAAAACCGTATCAATACAAAACTTAGACGTTTTACAGATTGCTGGGTTTGATTGCCAAATAAAAATCTTGATGTTAGTTCCGTATTTCGCCACGCCCATTCTCTTTCCGCACAGACTTTACAATTTAATGAAAATCATCCCTAGAATAGAATGGAAAATAAAAGGTGATTTTTAGCAGAAAATTATGTGAATCAAAAATTTAAAAAAACAAACGAATTTTAGCTATAGCTATGTTTTATAGGATCTCTGCTAATGGAAGGCCGCCACGTCAGGCTTAGTGGTGAAGACGTAGGGAGGGGCACATTCTCCCATCGGCACGTTATGTTAGTAGATCAAGAAACAGAGGAGATCTATGTGCCTCTCAACAATATACATGAAGATCAGAAAGGATTTTTGGAGGTGGGTTATAACCCAGCGCTGTATTCACAAACAATTGGAAAACTGCATTTAAAAATTTGATTTCATAATATATTATCATCATCATCAGCCTATTAATGTCCCCACTGCTGGGGCACAAGCCTTCCCTATAGATGGAATAGGGAGATAAGGCTATGACCCACCACGCGGGCCAAGTGCGGATTGGCGAGTGCTCACGACGGCAAATGCAGCCGGAACCAATGGCTTAACGTGCCTTCCGAAGCACGGAGGAACTCGAGCCAGATAGAGGATTTTTGGTCACCCATCCAATAACCGACCACTGCGAAAGTTGCTTAACTTCAACGATCGCAGCCAAACGCGCTAATTAGCTACGCCATCGAGCTCCTCTAAAGACATGATATATACCTTACTATAAATGAAGACATTAATAGCCACACACACAGTAGTTTATCTTCCTTTTTTGTTAAGATAAAAGGACTATTAAATTGTTACTGTCAATTGATTGATCTTAACTGCTCTATTTATGCTTTTAATAAACAACATTAATTAGAATTATTATTATTTAAGCATGTAACTGCTCGATGTTTAAATCTAAAGAAAATATTACTGTAAAAAAATCCACGCAGACCAGGCAGCAGACGGGACTCAAACCCGCACTCTGCGCTATGCACTGACCATTATGCTACCGCAGCCCGTGTCGAATTCTTTCTAGTCTTTCTTAAGCTGCAAGAGAGCGCCATTTCTTCGCATTGAAAGTAACCGATAATCCGCGTCCACGTGGTCCGCGTGGAATTATTGCTAGTAATATTTTCTTTTAGTATTATCAGACCCGTCTTTCCCAGTGGGCACTTTGGGCAAGTGTCCAGGACCCCGCGATCGATAGGGGGCCCCCTCAGATCAAATACAAAGTCATAGGGTCCCCATTATCCTAATATGCCCAGGGCATCCAATAGATCAAAGACGGCACTGAGTATTATGATTAACGTGCCATCACTAATAAAAAATATAACCAATATATGGAGTCATAACTCACTAAGATAATAATTTCAGGTAGCAAATTCTATATTATCTGAGGAAGCGGTTCTAGGTTTCGAATACGGTATGGCGTATGACTCCCCAGACCACCTGTTTGTTTGGGAAGCACAATTCGGAGATTTTTATAATGGAGCACAGATCATGGTCGACACGTATATATCTTCAGGAGAAGGTGAGAATTTGATAAACACACGAACTATCTAGTCAAGGCAATAAAATTCAAGCAGACAAGTTCTAATTACTTCTAAAAAAACCTGATAACGGAATTCACATTAGATCTAGAATTTGCTATAGAGGTATATTGTTTTGAACTCTCATGGTCACTAACATTATAGTAATTTATGTTATAAGTGCCATGATTACGGAATAATCAGTTACTACATGGTAGCAATCCCTCTAATTACGTAAATTGCAATATTATTACGGAGCGGACAGGTCACGTTACAAACCAACTAGGATTTACCTAAAACATTTTCATGTTTCCCAGCTAAATGGGCCCGCAGCAACGGCCTCGTCATGCTTCTTCCTCACGGCTACGACGGCGCCGGTCCAGAGCACAGCTCCTGCAGGATAGAAAGGTTCCTGCAACTGTCCGACAGCTCTGAAACAACACCCGACTCCGAAGCTGTATGTTTGCACGTCGTTAACCCCACCACACCTGCGCAGTACTTCCACTTACTAAGGAGACAGGTTTGTATATTTAATAATCTGCAAATGTGGTGCCAGCCCAGAGCACAGCTCCTGCAGAATAGAGAGGTTCCTGCAGCTATCCGCAAGCTCCGAGATGACTACCGACTCGGAAGCTGTTTGCTTACACGTCGTTAACCCCACCACTACAACTGCCCAGTACTTCCACTTACTAATGAGACAGGTTTGTAAATTTAATAATCTGCAAATGCGGTGCCAGCCCAGAGCACAGCTCCTGCAGGATAGAGTGGTTCCTGCAGCTATCCGAAAGCTCCGAGATGACTACCGACTCGGAAGCTGTTTGTTTACACGTCGTTAACCCCACCACACCTGTGCAGTATTTCCATTCCAGGTCTGTAAATCCAAAAATCTGCAAGCACTTTTCTATTAAGCTTTCAAAATAAATACTATAGACTTTATATAAGGTTTTTTGAAATGATTGAGATGGTTGAATGTGTTCCGATTTTAATCTGATTGACTCATTTAAGTTTTGTTTCAAATGATTTTTAAAGTGTATATTTACATCATCAATTTTGTTAAAATTGGAATACGGAAAATATTCTGAATTAATCTTTCGGGTCCCTTTGTTTAAATCGGTTTACATACCCGAATCGCACGGGCTAGTAATCCCAGTTCAAGACCTTTGAATGCCATTAGACCAAAGTTCTAATTCAACTGGATTAAGCGATTAAATGTTTTTGAGAATGATAGCGGAGTAGCTAATGTATTCTGCTGATCTCTCGACCTACTCGTGAAGGAACTTTCGCAAATAGTAAGTCATTCAATAAAAATTTCAGTCAAATTTGAAAATTTTTAAATTGTCTTTTCCTAATTTCACTTTAAGTCATTAAGCTCAACTGCATTAATATTCATTCCGATCTGGCCCTTTCTCTCTGTGCAGTTCTGTAAAACGAGAAAATATACTCTTATATACCATCAGTGTTCAAGGATAATGAATAAACTAATTAGTTTTAACTATGAACAAAATGTTGTGCATTGTCTTAGGTTTTGTGTTGACTGACTCAGCATCTTTTACTCAGGTGACAAGAAACTATAGAAAACCTCTGGTGGTGGCGTCAGCTAAGGTCCTGTTGCGGATGGCTGAAGCTGTCTCTCCACTGGCAGACTTCGCACCGGGAACACACTTCCAACCTGTCATTGGTAACGATATCTATTACATCATCATCATGATTTAATAACAAACCCTCATATTACAGTATCATCACCTGCCTTCTGATTCCACACTGCTGGCTTTCTCCTATAGATGTCATAAGTAGAATGGGCCATTACCCATTATACATGCCTCAAAATATTCAGGATTTTTATATCTTTTCCCGCATCGGTAATTTAGGTGAGAGTAGTCTGTATGTAGGTAATAGAAAAATAATTTCTAGTAAGTGGGGGCGTTTCCCTGCCGCATAACTATCTTCGCGTCCAGCTGCTAAGTAGTAACACATAATATACTGCTGCATTTCGATAAAGGTAGGTCATCACATCTTCTATGCAGGGTAGCAGAGTTTTTTAACTTTAACTCCAAACACATTTAGAGATACCAAAGAGTAGAATTCGTATACCAAACTATTGACAAACTTCAACCACAGACGAAATTTGTAAATATGCATTTATGAAATCTTCAACCACTAATGAAGTTGCGGGCAGGACTGCGTTTAAGACTTCGGTGCGGGAACATTATTCGAATCAATCGCATAGTGCTCGAGTTGAATCAGGATACTAAAATCGGACAATATATTATAAGTACATATGTAGTTATCTATGTATATATGTTGTATTAAACGCTATTCCATTTTTTTTCCTCATTGTTTGATGTTTGCTCTTTTCTATGATTGTCTGCCGTTTTATTGACTCTGCACGTTCTTTCCGTTTGACTGGTAGATACTGCCTTGCCGGCATTAAGTCCACCATATGCAATACAATGTAAAGGCATTAAAGATTGAATAAATAAGTTGTGTAAATTCATTTCAGACTAAGTGGGCTACTGGCCGAGCCTACAAAATAAGATTAATGAATAGATATGCTATGGAAGATCTACAGTCAGGAACAACATGCCAAAACTAATGTCAAACAAACATTGTATCCCAATAATTAATCAAAATATTTGGGGATTTGGCCATAGCTATTTTAAGAATAATTACTTTGTATCGTACCCATATCTCTGGACCAATTATGACTATTGACATAGAAGACTTGCAGTGTAAGCATCTAGCAATAATAATAATAATTTGATTACTAGTTTCATTATAAATACTTACATTCATATATACATTAACGGTAAACCAGAATGAGCGAATTTTCTTAAAATTTATTAAACATGTAAGTAGGTAATTCTCAGGGGACGAAACAAGAATCAACAGAAAAATGAATAATTAATTATGCGTTAAACTTAAAGCATATACCAAACGATTTTTATCACTAGAAGAAACCAAACATGTTTTCGGTAGATTTTTTTATATAGTTTATAGATTTTGTTATGTAAATGTTTCTATATGTATATAAAACATTTCAGGTATAAAAATTCGAGAATATATTCAAGAAGAAGCAATATATTCAATTTGTAACCAGTTTTAATAAGTGTTATTTTGAAATATTTTGGGTAGCCCACGTAATTATCTTTTTATATTTATTTATTCATTCAGTAGCACTGAATATACATAACACGTATTTCCGAACCAGAACCTATGTTTCTACGTCTATCACCACAATTTTTGCTCTTCCCGAAGGTTTATTCTCTGAGGCATCTACTTGGGACTGCAGCCGGTGACATGACGAAAATAAATACTCAAAAGTCCGCGTAATAGTTAAATAAGATATGAGTGCGGTAAGTTGGTTATTACAAACCATACTCACGAGTTTGTGAATACCAATTCCACACGTATGTCATAAAACGTTTTTCAACACATTTGCGAGGACACAATATACCTGCCTAATTAAAGTACTGAAACTAATTTTTCTAATATGAAAATGGGTGGTGAAAATGAGATCTACATTTTGCTTTTTAGTATTAAAATGAGACAAAGGTATAAATTAAAAGAGATTCCAAGAAGGTTCGATCGAAAATTAAAAAAAAAAGGTAAATAATACGCGCGGCGCGCCATGTATGGGAGTTAAATTAATTTTTTTGAGCAAATGTACAAATTAAAATATTATACATCTGAACAATACCGTATACACCTTCAAAACTATTCTGAATCACTACAAGTACGAGTATTGTGATGTTAGGAATGGCGTTTTTACACAAAATATGAATCAGACCCTCAGTCAAGTTACGGTCGTGAGTTGCTATATAAGCTATACGTAATTGACTTGCCGGTCACCTATTACTAACTATCCGATGATCCGCAACACAAGGGCAAACAAGCGACCCCTCACCGGAGGCAACGGACAAAACAACAGAACACAGAAAGAAGTTAGAAAGGCCTTGTGGACGGGGCAGGCGTATCACAGTAATGTGTAAGCAAATCTCATAACTTCGCCAAAACTTGGTTCTGATTGATTACCCGAGAGGGTGTGAGCGCTAATTGGCTCAATTCTTTGCTGTCGCGTCGTTTGATTGGCTATCTATTAGATGCTAGTGTAGTGGGGGCGAGCCGGCGACATCGGTTCCCGGACAAACGGTTTTGTGATCACACTTCTAACCACTTTCTGTGTTCTGTGGCAAAAACTCGCTGACTCGCGTACAGTTTCAAATAGAACCAAAAGGCCTGTTCAAATAAAAGAACCTACCTTAGGGCAATCGATAGATACAATACTACATTTGTTTTCTACAATGTTTACAACTATTGTCCTACTAATATTATAAATAAGATAGTTTGTATGTTTGTTACTTTATCACATAAAAACTTCTCAACGGATTTGGATAAAATTTGGTCCGCATATAGTTTATGACCTGAATTCAGACATAGGATACTTTTATCCTAGAAAATTTGGTTCCTGAGGGATTTTTAAAAACCTAATGTTAACGCGGACGAAGTTCAGGGCGGCCGCTAGTACTAGTAACTAGTACTTATAAATGGAAAACTTAGTGATTTGGAAGCATGCAAAGCCTAAATTGACTTTCTTAAAATAAAAATTAGTGAAGCCAAAAATAATCCAAATTTAGCAGGAATACGACTATAGCTTCAAAATTGGTTTTTTAAAATTTAGCCATTGATCATGGTACTTTTTCGGCGACGACAATTAATAATTTAATTTGAATTATATCAGGTGATACCCAAGCAGATCCTTTGAAAGTCCGAAGGGTGATTTTGGTGAGCGGGAAGCACTACTACGAGTTGCATAAGGAGAGAGTGAGAGGGAAGGTCGATGACGTAGCCATCATCAGACTGGAGGCTCTTAGTCCATTCCCGTTGCAAGGTTTGCAGAAGGAGATTGCGAAATACCCTAATTCAAGAAGTGAGTATTCGAAGATCTAAAAAAATAGTTCTAGGATTCTTTTTACTTACACCAAACAACTTGAATCCTACACCACAATCACGCCAAATAAAGAAGTGGCTCGCATATAAGAATTATTTTTTGATGTGTAACATCTTTCCTCTCGCTTTCCTGCAATTTGTGGGAGTGATTTCGGGAAATGGGACGGAAGTGTGTAACAGGAAGTCGCGAAAGCGCGCGCTATTTGATTTGATTTTAGAACATGATGTTCAAATGGCTTATTTCTTTTTTTACTAATATAAGGTGAGGTTTCAAATGTTACACATTATACGCGACTACTGTAAGGCTGGCTCGTTTTTTTTAATAATAAATCAGTTATATAATCGTTCAATAGACACAACTAAATGTCTTTAATGCCCAAGTTTATAAAAGTTTGGCACCCCGTGTCTTGTTATCCTCGTGTGCGTGATCCGTAAAATCGAATGCCGAAACTTCAAAGAGTACCCAAACGATTTCATCAAAATCGTGTCGAAAACACTAGTAAGCTAATATCGCGAAAGTGTTATGAAGTTATATTGTAGATTCTAAGTATATGAGTCGTATAGTATCAAAGGCGGCAAAGTAGGGCGAACCAAATATTTGGCAAATCAAAAAAAACTGTTTAGTCTCGTCTCTAAGCGAGGATTTTTATAATTGACATTCATCATAACTACAAATCGTAGTGAAACGTCAATATTTTATCCTCCCTTAAAGACGAGAATAAACAGTTTTTTTTGATTTGCCAAATATTTGGTTCGCCCTTCTTTGCCGCCTTTGATACTATACGACTCATATAGTTTGTCTATATGGTAGGTACCGCTAAAACAGAGAGAAAATTTATTCATTCATGATTTCGCAGTATTCATTTGGAGTCAAGAAGAACACAGAAACATGGGAGCCTGGTCTTTTGTGAAGCCAAGATTTGAAAACTTACTCGGAAAAAAGGTAAGCGGAAAACATTTTTTAAATACAAGGCTTAGCAAATTATCCCATCTCAATTGATTTTTGTGACTTGAGTGTAGTTATAGAGATAGCTGGTGCGGCCGGAAAATGTGCCTCTTCGTAATCCGTAACCTTATCGGCCTAATTCTAATCCCAATCCCGTGGAGCCATAGAACCTTACTCAGCTAGCAAGAAAACAACACTATCAACTATTGTTAGCATACCTGCTGTATCAGGTAGTCGTAGGTGCTGTAATCTTCTTTGAGGTGGAGATTACTTCCCCAGGCGTGTGAAATAATACTAAAGGACATGGTAAAGTCATGGTAAATCTTGTAGTTTTATCAATTTATTTTTTTTTCCTTTCATCTTTTGCTTTTATTTACTTTACCGCATAATGTCTCTGCTTAGCCTGGCTGGTAGGGAATGCCATGTGGCATTAAGTCCGCCATTTGTTGTAAATGACAATAAAGAGTAAATAAATAAAGTTTTGTATGAGCGACTGCCCTGGCAATGTATGCAGTGTACCAAATGTTCACCAAAAAAAATGTATTTAATTTATTGAGAACTTCGGAGATTTTGTGTAGTTTCGTTTGAAATTCGTGATTTCTTGAAAACCGGAAGTGCTACGTTACTCAAATCCGGTTTGTAGTCTTATCAGACTATTCTTAACTTATAACTTAAACATTCTCTTTATCTATCTCTTACGGACGGACGGACGGACGGGCTTGTCTAATAGATAAGAGATGGTAAATGGCTGAATATTTATAATTTCTATGAAAAAAAGGTTCAGCAACTTTTGATAAAGTCACAATCTTGAAAATTATGAGAACTCCTACTATGTTATTACCTTACTACAGTTGATAAAAGATGTTGCCAATTATTTACCGAGTCATCGATTACGCATTTTCTTAGAATCTTTCTTCTCATTTCTCTGATTAACACTTCACAAAAAGTTTTTTGAAAGCAAAAATAAATAGTAATAAGTAATTTGTTATCGTCGGCCTGATAGAAAATCTGTGAAGTTTTATTTTGTCCATTTGCAAAAATTAAAGGATTAGTTTTCATACAGCCTGGTCTCAAGCCTGATCACAATTTAAAAATCTATTATTTTAGGCCTTTAGTGATTTGTTATTATAAAAATTAAGGCCAAATATGTCATAGTTCGAAGGAGTTTACAAATAATATTGTTTATTTCGATATACTTACACAAATATTTTTTGTGTACATTTATTATTATGTATAACGGAACATTTTGCTTTTGAAACAGACATGAAGTCAATTTTTATACTTTTAAATATTTGATTATTTTACGAAAGTTGTATGAGAATAATAAACACGTAATAATTAATAAAAAAATATTGTAAAGTTACGGGCTAGTGCGAAATATTCATACACGTTAGGGGCAGTTTCTTAGCCATGTTCAAATAGTAAACATCTTTCATTTGAATATTTTGGTCTATACAACACTCTTCATTAATTAAAATGTTACAAACGATTGCTACTTTTCAAAAAAAGAAAATCTGATCAAAAACTTTTTCGTATAATCTCCAACCGCCATTTTCAATATCCTGTCAGCAATAAGAGATAAGCTAATTACAGTTGGGAACAGAATCAATTAATCGATAGATGATTTGAGCACAGTTTCGAGCATAAAACTGAAACTAGCTCCTGTCCAGAGAAATATCCTTCACATAACAGATGGCTACAGCGAAATAACATTGTTTATATTTTTCAGTATTGTATTTGTCTTTTTTATTATATGTTAAAAGGGTGGCGTACAAGCATATGGTCCGCGTGATAGTAAGCGGCCACAATATACAAAATATCACTGGCACATATCACAGAAAGCATAAAAGAAAACTGTCTTTTGTCAAACATTCAATTTTTCTATTGTTTTGACAATTTCATAAACCTTCCTACACATACTTGACTTGTTGTTCTTTTTTGTCATGCACCACTTGTGCCCCTTTCCTGAAAAAAGTCCTGGATCCGCCCTTGACTCGCACCGTTTACTACTCGGCCGGATCGCAAAAGACGCTGATCAAATCAGCTGATTCAAGCGCCCGGATTGCAAAACATGCTTATTGAATAAACCGTTATAGTCCATTCGTCCAGATTGTAAAATATACTAATACTTTTTTTTTCTAGTAAAGAAAAATCCTCAGATGAATAATGAAAACGAATTTCATGAAAAACAGAACTTTTACGTTTTCGCACGTTAAGCCGTTGGTCCCGGCTACATCTGCATTCGATAGCATCCCCAATACGTACTGGGCTCACATGGTGGATTGTCTCAGTCTCCCTATTGCATCAATATCCCAGCAATGGGAACATTAAAAGAATGAGGAGTAACGACGACCTCCGTGGCCGAGTGGTTAGTACGCCCGGTTTCAAGGTGTAGCCTACTCGAGATCCCGGGTTCGAATCCTGGTGGAGGCAGATATTTGTGTGATGAATACGAGTATTTGTACTCCAGTTATGTATGTTTAATATGCATTTCTATATAAATATAATTATATATGTATCAGAATATGTATTCTGTCCGTTACCTTAGTATCCCATAACACAAGTCAACAGTGCTTACTTTGGGGCTAGGCTAATTGGTGTGATTGTTAGAAACATTTATTTATTTATTATTTTTATTTATATAATCGTTAATACATTTGCAGTTACTATACTCCGGTCGTGCCGAGTCAGCCGCCCCTGCGGTGGGCGCCGGGGTATTGCACAGGGCCGAAGCGGAACACGTGATCAAGGAACCCCTCTACAATATGAAGTGATCTCATTGGAATACGACCAACGATTTATATAATACTAAATAAATCTACTTACTTAGAAATAATTCTGGCATGATGCCAGATGGAATAGTACCTCAGTGATTGACAGACAAAACATGGAGTAACTACAGGCATGAACATATTTACGTGTCGTGGCGTGTCGTGAGGCGCCAGAAGCACATCGGTTTCATACATTTCTTATGGTTAGAGACATATTCATGTCGACACGACCCGACACAACCTACAAATACCTAACTGTATCCCCTGAACAACAGGTGCAATCTTCTATAGTTCCTCTTTCTCTCCCATCGTCTCTATTTCTTTATCATGGCCACCAAGCACTGACCGCGATAGCATCGGTTTCATACATTTCTTATAGTTAGAGACATATTCATGTCGACACGACACGACACAACCTACAAATACCTAACTGTATCCCCTGAACAACAGGTGCAATCTTCTATAGTTCCTCTCTCTCTCCCATCGTCTCTATTTCTTTATCATGGCCACCAAGCACTGACCCCGATAGCATCGGTTTCATACATTTCTTATAGTTAGAGATATATTCATGTCGACACGACACGACACAACCTACAAATACCTAACTGTATCCCCTGAACAACAGGTGCAATCTTCTATAGTTCCTCTCTCTCTCCCATCGTCTCTATTTCTTTATCATGGCCACCAAGCACTGACTCCGATAGTCCCGGCACACAGCGGCAGTCGCCTTGAGTTGCATGCGGCGTGTATAAAATAATTTTTAGGTATAAATAAGTACCTAACTTATTCATTTAGTTATGTCAGTGTTCATTATTATTGTTTGATATTTAACTATAACTCTTTTTGAACAGGTGACCTTATATTTTCTTATTTATATTTTTGTTTATTTTATCATTAAGTTTAAAGTGTTTCATATGCAGACGCGGCCTGCGGCCGCGGCCTCTCCTATGTGCATTTCTGTAACCACCACGACCCCGGCCGCAGCCGCCAGCGGCGACTGTCTGTGAGACACTTAATATTGAATGTATTTCTTCAATGGCTGTATTTCAAGCAAGATTGTTAAACCTCATCTCTTACACTCTTCTTACCCCCATTATTTATACCTTTCATTTATTAACTGTTTCGTTTCACCTCTCAATATTAATATACCGTCCTCTCCTCTCCCTCTCTTTTCCACCCATTCGACCACCCTGGCTGCATCTCTTACTTAATCTTCTACATCACAATATAAAATAATCCATCATTAACTTAAAATGTAATAAATAAATGTTTAAAAAAATGTCTAACCATACATTATGTACGAAACCGATGTGCTTCTGGCGCGTCACGACACGCCACGACACGTAAATATGTGTCTGTTTTAATTTAAGCATAGTCTTCGTTTATTTATGGGGTAGATGTTTAATGAAACATGAATGATCCTACATAACTTGACAATGGTCGAAACTGTATCAAGTAAAAGAAATAAGAGGTCGGTACTTATAATCAAAACAATATTAGTAGGTGCCCAACTAAGCTGAACCTGTATGTAAGTAAATATTAGGGATTCTTCGTTACATTTCTTAACAAACACATAAGTATATAATGGTGAAGATTCTGGCATGATGTTCTAAACTTAAAACTAAATTAAACATCAGTCTTTCCTTTTCATTCTGTATAGAGAAAGACTGTTGTCAGGTTTAGGTTTAGACAATCATTCCAGAATCGATACCAAACAGGACTCGGAAACAACTACAAATAATACACCGGGATTAATTATTATTAATTAATTATCAAGACATGAAGCATAAAATAGGTACCTGCCGTTGGTCCAAATTTATAATTTAAGAATAATAAAAAATAAGCTTGGAATATCTGTATGAATATAGAAACCGGGAAAGAAAAATGAGCTCCTTCTCATTTATTCCTAGTACAAAGGTCTCAAACATTTGCAAACCGATAGCGGAGCGTTTCGACATTCATGAATGCTTTTGACAGCCAAAACTGAATAAACGATATTGAACTTTCGAGTTGTTTACCAATCTTTTATTCACACCCAAAGAGATTTGAACAGTAGGAATACTTATAGTACTTTTACTACTTTTTTGTACTAGTTTAATGTCTTTGTTCAAATCACTCAATTGGTACTTATTTGGAACTCGATATAAAAGGAAAAACTTTGAAAACCTTCATTTATTTATTGAAAGTTTTCAAACTCAAGATGTGCTTCCAAGTATAATGCTGGCTCATGGGTGCTCCATGTACCGGCTCCACACTTGTGCCGTGAAATAATGGCGTGATATGCGCCGTGAACTCACATCAGTGGTGACTCTTTTACAAGGAAAGCGCGTAAATCTCCGAAGGCCGTCCACATTCGGTTCACGCTTGTTCGTGGAGCTTCACGGTAAAAGCTGTGGTAAAAGTGTGGAGCAGCCATAAGATTAACATATTAGAGAAGCATTCTAAAAATAAAAGGGGTGAATGACTGTATTACATATGGAATGTAACTGTAACTCCAAGCCATCCTTCGTACGAGCACGATTCCACATTTTCATGTCAGCGATTTTTAAAAAGAGTGCTAGTCTGAACGCGCTATAAGGACTAATTTTTCAACAGAAAAAGATTGAAGGTTATATAAAATTTGTAATTAATGTTATTTGGATGTAACGAATGATATTTCTTACTGATTGGGTGATAGATAACTAACTTCTAAAAAAAAGTTTTCGGGAATTGATGAAACAACCCTACAATGTCTGGTAGATAAATAATATTTTGCTAACTTCGTAATGCACCATTGTGTTAAATATAATAACACTCACTAAAGAAAGTGCCAAACAGTTGTTTAACCAAGATATACTTAATAATTAAATTGCTACTTTATTTGATAGCTGTAATTTGATGCCTAGATTTGTTTATAGGTAGTCATAATTTTATTTGTAAATTAAAAAACCATTATAACAATTTGTATATATGATATGATTTGTATGATGAGTAATGGCATTTTTTTTTATATATAATTATACCTGTTTATGTCGTGGACATGGATGGATGATGTTATCTTTTTGTACATACATAATATAAAGCAATTACGAATAATAATATTAAACATGTTAAAGTAAAATAACTGGCTGTTTTATTGAAACGTCTAAAAAGTTTTTTGAAGTGAAAACTTCGTTAGCGGCGTTTTACACTTTTTTGTGTATGGGTAAAAATAATAAACTCGCGTCAGGTTAAACAAGTGGGCTGATTGCATCATGAATGAGACACAATAAAATTGGAAAGGTTGTTGACTTTCAATATATTAGTCGAAACATAGTAATATTTTATTTTATCGTATTATAATAATAAGTCTCTATGTAGGATGTCCACGTGGCAGCTTTATTGCAAAGAAAATGCATATTTTTACAATAGATGTCGCTAGGTGCGCTTAAATGAGATTCGTGTAAGTTGATTTTTCTGAGAGATAAACTTTTTTAATGTAATATAAATTGTCATGTTTGTGTACGATAGCGCAATAAATAAATATTGTATTCTACCGCATACATGATAGTACTTTTATACTGATAATTAAAGCAATTCGTGTAAAATTATTCCCTAACCATTCCAAAATATCAAAAATGCACAACGTTAATATTCAAGTTTTCACTTCTGCCGGTATTCCCGTCGTTTTTTTTTTAATAAAAGGTAACTATTGTTTTAGGCAGGCTCTGATGCGACTGTGGCTAGTTTAGTGTTAATCAATGTTGTGTACAATACAAAAAAACTAGAAATCAATTGCTTTTTACATTTACCATAAACTTAATTCGTTTCATTTTTGTTTACTCCATACATTAAAAGTTTATTCGTCATATGCAATTTACTTCATAAACATAGAACTGTGGCGAGTATATTACGTATTAAAGTACAAAATTCAGTAACCGAGCCAACGGTTACTATTTATCCATTGAGAAAAATATCGATTTAACAGAAGCTTCTTTTTTCGATCCTACTTTAACGCAATGGACGATACTTAGAACATTTCTCCTAATTTCAATAATAGTTGAGCAGAAATGGGCGGAAAAGGCAAGAAGAAAGAGAAAAAAGATAAAGATGAGAGCGGTGGCGGTGATGAAAAAAAAGCCAAAAAGGGAGGACGAGGTAAGAAAGGTAAATCCAAAGGGTGCAACGCGGATATGTTGACAGAAGCAGCTATGGACAACGTGTATTATGGGTGTCATAATGTTCAAGAGCTTCTGCAAGCGAGAGGGTTCCATCCCCCAGACTTTAACAAGAAGAAAAAGAAAGGAAAGCGCTGAGGCAACGAAGATTGTGTTGTTAAAGAAGGTGATGAAAATTAACGGCGAGGCGAACGGGAGTTGAGTGGGGAATATAATCAAGAGAAAGCAGTACGCGCGCACATTTTCTTTCTCTCTTTTTTTATAGCTAGTAAATGAAATATGTATATATTATAAATAGAGCTAAAGAAGTTTCACTTCAGTCGTGTAGTCATAAGCACACTCGTTTTTTTTATTATTTTCAAACATATATCCACATCCTTTACTCTAAAACTAAACTCTTGAGAAAGTATTAAAAAAGCATTTTAAACCCGTTGAAAAGCACATAGTTTTCATTTAATGAGTGGTGTGTGTGAAAACGTGGAGTTTGTCTTGAAATCTTATTTGGATAAGTATTTGAAAAAAAAATCTTTATATTTTGCAAAACCCTTACCCTAAAAACCTATTGAGATATTCATGTCGATGTTGTTAATAATTTATTAAAACAATTTAAGTTAAATTTTGTTTCATTACTGATCGAGTCCAAATTGAGAAAGAAATCTGTCTGTGAAAAACCACTACGGAACAATCTCAATATTTCTGACATGAGTTCTCTTTATAAATTCGTAGCATTGTTTAAGGTAGGCCAGCCATTATTTAATTGACAAAAAGACGTACTTAATATTAACCCATCACACTTTTGTATGCACAACACTGGTATCAATAGACAGTTACATGATTTATGGAACAGGCAGCAGTAAAAAGTTAAAGATATTTAGTTAAATAACTCAACATCTCATCGACTCCAATTCAATAGTTTAAAACTATACCCAGCTAGGAAAGACTGGCGAACTCCATAAGGGTTTCTAATAACCAAGACGAAGGCAAAGAAGCAGCTAAGAACTTTCTATCGCTCTCATTCAATATTGGATATAACATATTGCATTATTACTAATATAATACAGGCGAAAGTTTGTGAGTGTGTATGTTTGTTACTTCTTCACGTCTAAACGGCTGGTGCGATTTTAATAAAATTCGGTATGGAGTTAGCTGACACCCTGGATTAACACATAGGTTACGTTTTACTGCGGGAAAATATCCCTAATAAACCGCGGGTAACACCGCGGGGCACAGCTAGTGTGTAATAAATCCGCTTTAAATGAGATTCCATAATATTGCCTTGGATAGGTAGCTAGTACTTTTCAAATTTTGCGTTTCTGTATTACAAACTGTAACCTGTTTGTTATACTGGACGAAGCATATGCTCCTCTCCCGATATTCCAATCTGAAACGACATAGAAACTTTAGTTTGCCGTATATTTCAATTTTCACGTTCACGGTTCGATAACTAACATTTATTCAAAACTTTGTGCGTATGCAAAGACAAGTTGAGGTATTGCTTAAAAAACTTTTTTATGGTTTTGGTTTTTATATAAGACAATGACAAAGTCTAACTAAGATATCAGTCAGATGTCATTGCCAAAATGTTTATATAAACTGTTTCATTGATTAAATGCTAAAATGTGTATATAATTTCTACGACAATGTAATAATGTAATGTTCTAAATTGATTGTTGCAATATGCTGAATAAAATAAAAAATATGACGATCCAAAAATCTTAAGGTGAGTTAGTATAGTCTTCTATCTTCTTCTTTAAATATAAAAATCAATTGCTGTTCGTTTGTCTCGCTAAAACTCTAGAACGACTGGTCCGTTTGAGCTTATACTGGTTTTTTCCATATTATTTTTATTCAGTTATTTCACAATTTGTCCCTTAACTAAGTTATTCTTATTCATATTTTAACATGTTTAATAATATACTGTCCGTGCTCGAGGCTGCTATTTGATACAGCCAGGGGCGCGGGCAGAAGTCGGAAAGAGAAAGAATAGTAAAGATAAAAGTAGAAAGTAAATAGGGAAGTGAAAAACAAAATAGAGAATAGTTAATTATACACTTTTCAACGTATAAAGTCACAGAAATAATATTATACTTTGTGAGCGTGCGCTGCGTTAGGCGAGACACGGAGCGGGCACCCGCTCGGCGCGCTTACTTCATGCCATTTCATTTCATAGAACCGCGCCACGTGAGGTAGGTCTTCACGAAATGACACAAAAAGAAAAAAGAAACAGTAAAAAAATATAAAAAATATTGTAAACGGTATGAAGTTCGCCGGGTCAGCTAGTATATTCTTATAAATGAGAAAAGATAAAATAAATAATTATTTCTGACACACACCAATTAGCCCAGCTTCAAAGTAAGCACTGCAAAGGCATAGGTTATTATTATATGGGATACTTGAGTAAAGGATAGAACACTTAAACTGATACCTACTTAATAATATAATTACTTTACTAATCTAGAAATGCGTTTACCCAAACACCCACTTTATTTAAAACGTAAAAGACTAATATTTGTTTCTTAGGTTCCACCCTCACCACTCATTAAAAAAACATGTTTCAACGGTATAGATGCACTGAATAAATAAAAAGATTAATAATAAAAAGTAACTGTCGATGGAACCTCATTATTGCAGATTTAAATTTACATTTATTTACAGCAAGCCCGTCCCAGCTAAAATGGCAGTCCCAGCGGTGGGCATCGACCTGGGTACGACTTACTCGTGTGTGGGCGTGTTCCAACACAGCAAGGTGGAAATTATAGCCAATGATCAGGGCAATAGGACCACTCCATCTTACGTTGCCTTCACTGACACTGAGAGGCTGATTGGGGATGCTGCCAAAAACCAGGTTCGCTTATTGCTCTTCGAATGAATAAGCAGTTTATATGGCATCACCCAGGTTTATTCAGGAGGAACTCGATGGCGCAAGTTAGCACGTTCGGCTACGTTGAAGTTAAGCAACTTTCGCAGTAGTCGGTCATGGGATGGGGACCAAAAGTGTTTCTCATTCGAGCTCCTCCGTGCTTCGGAAATAACGTTAGGCCGTTGGTCCCGGCTGCATCTGCAGTCGTTAGCACCCACCAATTCCCACTGGGCCCGTGTGGTGGGTCATGTCATGGCCCAATCTCCCTATTCCATACAATGAGAAGGTCTGTGCCTCAGCTGTGAGGGCATTAAGAGGCCGATGATGATGATGATGACCCAGTTTCATAGCTAAGGAGATAAATTATCACAAATTAGATAAAACTCTAACTCTATTTAGAGGATTAAGAGTAGGAGTACCTTTGGTTTCGCAAAACATTGTTTCAAAACAAACTCAAGATTTACGAGTCCCCAGATATTTTTCAGTACCTGATTTCCCTATAACCTAATTTTGTAAAAGAATTAGTTTTGAGTTTTCAAACATAAAATTAGACTTAAAAATACTCTTGCCAAACAATGCTCTTCCCATAGGAAATCATCCTTTACCCGTATTTTTACGATCTGACGATCTCGTACATAATTGATTCGAAAACTAGAAGAATTTCAGTAGATACCTATTTCGGACGATTATTGCTTATATTTGAGACAAAATTATAAGTACCTACTTAGTGTTATGGCAAATCAAAGGCCCTATGCTGTAAACTATACTAAGGAATATGGTAAGACTTAATCAACAAACGTAGCTCTAAAAATAGAGTTAACCCAAAACTTTTAACAAGATCATCCAACTTAGATGTATATAAGTACTTACATAAGTTATGCAGTGTACAAGAACAAACATAGTTTACGCAAGGGGAAAGTTCGGTCCCTAAGGAAACTTTCATTGTATTAAGTCTTTGAACTCGGCTAATATATTTTGTTTTAGGCCGCTATGAATCCTAAAAATACTGTTTTCGATGCCAAACGACTCATTGGTCGAAAATTTGATGATCCAAAAATTCAACAAGACCTCCGACAATGGCCATTTAATGTGGTATCCGAAAGCGGAAAACCTAAAATCGTTGTCGAATATAAAAATCAACAAAGAAAATTTTCTCCTGAGGAAATTTCGTCAATGGTCTTGACCAAAATGAAGGAGACTGCAGAGACATACCTCGGTGGAACGGTGAAAGATGCTGTTATAACTGTTCCAGCTTATTTTAACGATTCTCAGAGACAAGCTACAAAAGATGCTGGAACTATTGCAGCTCTTAACGTTATCAGAATTATCAACGAGCCTACAGCAGCCGCATTAGCATACGGTCTTGATAAAAACTTGAAGGGAGACAAAAATGTTCTCATCTTTGACCTTGGCGGAGGTACTTTTGATGTTTCAATTCTGCAAATAGCTGAAGGATCTCTCTTTGAAGTTAGATCTACAGCAGGCGACACGCATCTCGGAGGTGAAGATTTTGACAGCAGAATGGTGAACCATTTTTGTCAAGAGTTTGAGAAAAAATACAAGAAAAATCTTAAAGAAAATCCAAAGGCTATGAGGCGTCTCCGAACTGCATGTGAAAGATCAAAACGAACTCTTTCGTCAAGTACAGAAGCAAGTTTAGAAATAGACGCCCTGCACGAAGGTATAGATTTTTACTCAAAAATAACAAGAGCTCGATTTGAAGAATTGTGTTCAGATTTGTTCAGGCAAACTTTAGGTCCAGTCGAAAGAGCACTAAAAGATGCAGGATTAAATACACGAGAGATCCATGACGTTGTAATGGTGGGAGGATCAACCCGTATTCCTAAAGTACAGAGACTATTGCAGGTATGACCATTTTAATCTTAGTTGTGATCGCTATAAATCTAGTTCCTCCTAAAAAATGACAATGTTTCAGGAATTCTTCAGTGGAAAAACATTGAATCTTTCAATTAATCCGGATGAAGCAGTAGCTTATGGAGCCGCAGTTCAAGCCGCCATTCTGTCCGGTTCTAAAGATACTCGTATTCAGGACGTTTTACTCGTAGACGTGACTCCTTTATCTCTTGGAATTGAAACGGCTGGTGGAGTGATGACGCGGTTGGTAGAAAGAAACTCGAGAATACCGATAGCGCAGAAGCAAATTTTTAGCACGTATGCCGACAACCAACCGGCAGTAACTATTCAGGTATTTTATATCTAATTAGAATAAACTGTGCGATATATCTTAAAATAACGATCAGTGCGAGATAAAAATAAAATCTTATCTGCAGTAAGTATTAAAAGTTACATTACAACTTTGTAGATCTATGAAGGCGAAAGAGCGATGACAAAGGACAACAATCTTTTAGGTACATTCAACTTGACTGGCATACCACCAGCCCCAAGAGGAGTTCCACAAATTCAGGTGATTTTTAACATGTTTTTTTGCTGTTAGTTAAAATGCTTGTTCATAAACTTAATAGGTTTGTTTTTGTACTTACCCATTGACTCGGTACCTGAAGTAAATTTTCACCTTCAACAACAAAACACGCCATTCTTTTCTTCACCAAGAAGACTTAGTACTAACCTGCTTTAACCGCTCAGTCGCATCTAGTTCTACAAAATTCTTAACTTGGGATATTTGCAATTGGCCAGCGTTCTGTCGTCACCGAACGATTTTCTTCTATACAATGAAACATATGCCTCGTGGAGAACATTGGCATCCTCTTATGTCATTGCTGTTCAAGGGTCAGGTTCTAATTAAATTACGCTCCTCTTTTCATCATTAGCATACCTATTTATCAATCAGACAATATGTTGCCTCTCCGTTGAAGCTTCGCAAACCGCAAAGTTGTTGTATATGTCTGTTTGTTTATGTTCATTAGGTAACGTTTGATATCGATGCCAACGGGATATTGAATGTGAGTGCCGAAGACAAAAGTACGGGCCATTCTGAGCAGATCACTATATCAAACGACAAAGGACGCCTCAGCAAGAAAGATATAGAGAAGATGCTGCAAGACGCTGAAAAGTTTAAGGTAGAAGATGAAGTCGCCAGGAAGAAGGTTGAAATCAGAAACCAATTGGAGGGCTATATCTTTGGATGTAAAACAGTGAGTGTCTCGCTACTACCTTTAATAAATTGTAACTTAAGAAGAACTAGTGCTCTAGGGGTTAGGGAATGAGATCAGGATAGAGAACGCAGGAGTGATTCTCTGGTATCGCAAGCGTCTGCAGTGGCTGCTTACAACAAAGCAGGCAAAATGGTTATTTGCTCGTCTCGTGATTCTCTTCTCTAACACACGAAATTGCGCTTTCCTTGGCTCGTTTTGTTTTCAGATCTTATTTTTATGCTTCGCTTTCTGCTTTTGCCTCTAAGCTATCACATCAGATACTATAAAAAGCCTATAGCCATCATCACCCTGGCTAATAGAGTCGATTATATTAATATTAATAATAGTAATATAAATTTACCAAAATACAGTTCATAGGTTGATACATTTTATAGAAGTAAGTACATGTATTCTACCTGCAGGCAGGTGTGCAAATATTGAAGTCAGCTATTTTGTCATCTGTCATATATTCCTTAATACTATAATAACATTTTTTTTGTAACCATTTTGTCAACTTACTTTTAAACATTGTTCCAGTTTCTTATTTTATATTGTCGAGTAATTTATTATATGTACATATTAACATTTTGTAGACATTAACTTTATAAATATATGCGTATAAATGTATTCAAGATCACGAATTGAAGATTTATAAAAAGAGGGTATAATTTTTGATGTTCATTATAAAATCAGTGTTGTAACATTTTAGGCAGCAGAAAACGCTAGCAGTCGTTTGACAAATGAAGAAAGGAACGCGGTATTGTCTGAGTGTACCGAACAGCTGAACTGGTTAGAGGCTAACCCTGACGCGCCTAAGGAAGAACTTGAGCGACGACTGGAGAGAGCCCAGAAAGTCTGCCAGCCGGCCATGATGAAACTGCACGGAGCTATGGGAGGAGGAGGGCCTAGTTGCGCCAGAACTTTGAGCTCTGGAGGGCCCAGAGTCGAAGAAATAGACTGAACAATTTTACAATCATATAAATATCTTCGTTATTGGACAATGTTCTAGAAAATTGATTCTATCTAGTCTGAACCAAACACTCTATAAGGCCTTTAACAGGCGACATTCTTTTTGTATTTGAAAATTGACAACTTAAAATAATATGGAATGTCACATACGGGTGTTATAAAAGAAAGTCAGTTACCTAGTTGTTTATATAACCTGTAAATAGAATATCGCGCAAAAAGAGCGTCGTTTGATGTAGGTCTTATACTTTACTTCAAATAGACTACAGTAGACACTTGGAAAACATAATTCAAAATTGTTTATTATACGTTATCATAACATCTGCACTTTGTATTTACTTCGTGAGCTAAACAAACCCAATAGCAAGTGATTGAAATTATAAACAAATGCTTGTGTAAAATATTTATTATAAAAATATAACAATGTCCGAATTCCACATATTTGGTACAATAATAATGATCTAATAACTAAAAGAACCCGGAAATAACACCAAATCAAATGGTCACCAAACAATAAAACTAATTTTATTGTTTGGTTTTGGAAGGTAAAAAGGACCATTAATTACCTTACCTATCCATAATACGACAAATTTACAAAGCAAACCGTTTGTAACCCCATAATATTAAACGAACAAGAAGCATTTCCTCCCGTAGCTCAACTCTTTATATTTTCGACTTCTCCTCTATAATATTTACATTTACAAAATATTTTAAGATTTTAAATATAAAACTTATTTTGAACAAAGTATTAATGGTATAAATATGTCGCCATAAAAAATCCCTAATATTCAATGGCATGCGAGCACTTTCTAACTTCGTCATGGTCAATATTATGTTATTCTGTATACAATGAAGGAATAGTTAAATATTTAAATGCAAATAACAGTCAGTTGCAATAATCAATCTCCAGTAAAAAGATAGCTTATTGTGATTGAAGTATAGACTAATAACTAATAAGATATTATGTAGACTCACAATCGCGCTTAAAATGTGTCCGACATTCTTTCGTTTACGCTGCACAGACAACGAGTATCTTTACAACTATAAATCATTATTTACTTCAATGTATGTGAATCCGCCAAGTTTGATGCAAGTATTGTATACAACATGTTCTATACATGTACAAAAAATTAAGACAATGTAAACATTTTGTTATTCAAATTGGATGTATGTACAACTCTTTTGAATCGTCCAAATTTTTTTTTTCCTCTACCACCGTTATGGACATATTATTTAGCGTCGGAGAAAAACGAGCGAAAAAACTCTACAACATTAAAAGTCTAATGTAACAACATTCACATTATGTTGTTACAACGTCAAAACAATAATGATTTATTTAATATAGAAAACCTGTTGGAATGATTGGAACAGTTAAAACCCAAGCATTTTTGTCTGTTATATAATCAGACTCTTTGTAATAAGCTTTTTTAATAAGTGCTTTTTTATAGTATCTTTAAATTTATTTATGGTTAACTCTTGGATATTGCTTGGGACTTTATTGTATAAGCGTACACAAAGACCTTTAAATGAATTATTAATTTTGAGAAGCCGGTAAAGATAATTTATTTTTGTTTCTTGTATTAAGTGTGTGAACATCACTGTTTTTAAGAAACAAATTGATGTTTTTTCTTACAAGTAATAAATTTTCGTATATGTATTGTGATGCGACCGACATTATTCCAAATTCTTTTAACTTATCTCTTAACGATTCTTTAACTATAAGATTATAAATTGATCGAATAGCTCTCTTTTGCAGCACAAAAATAGTTTGAATGTCGGCGGCATTTCCCCACAATATACCACGGCGCGCAGAATTGGTAAATCATATCAAGATATAGGCCAGCAACAAATGTGTTTTGTGGCTCCTGCCGCCCCTCAGTTAGTTTTTTTAGACAATGACATAATTATTTTATTATAATTAAGGTTACCTACTATAATGACGGAAAACGCAACTCAACATGAAATTTAAAAAATATAACGTATTCTAAGAAAAACAGAAGAACGGGAGGAGAAATTGGCAACCCTGCTGCAGATTGATTATTGAAACTGGCAGTGTCTAAAAATTTCACAAATAAATTGATATTCGCTATACTTATAACGGCTGCAGTGCAATATAATATAATAATACACAGGTATACTTAAATATAAAATTTTCTACTTATACAATATATAAATGCTATGGCTGTTAAAGGCTGTACTTATTCAGGCATTCTACAATATTTTAAAAATTTGTACATTTTATTTTTCGATGTCAATTTTGTGACTTCTTACAATTAAAGATCATATCGGTAAAGGCGGACTGCTATAAATGTTTACAAACATAAATTAACATTTGTTAAACAAACATTCGATAAATGTTAGAAAATGTGTTCATGTTAGGCGCGTTCCTCACCGGGTCTTTCACGTTATTTTTGCGTTTTCTTTTAAAAACAACAAACACTTGAAAAATTGTAGCTTAAGAAATGTTTCTTCATTAGGAAACTTTTTTTTTATTATTATTCAAACACACACACCAATTAGCCTAGCCCCAAAGTAAGCACTGTAAGGCTTGTGTTTTGGGATACTAGGCTAACGGATAGAATACATATACTGTACATATATAAGTATATTTATATATGAAAACATATTAAACATACATGACTGGAGTACAAATGCTCGTATTCATCACACAAACATCTGCCCTCACCGGGATTCGAACCCGGGACCTCTCGAGTCGGCAACACTATGAAACCAGACGGCGTACAAACCACTCGACCACGGAGGTCGTCAAATTGTTCCACAACATAACATTGTTTCCACGCTAAGGATTTCGACAAGAACGAGGCGTGTTGGCGTGTTCAGTTTTTAGTGCGAGATGCTTGTGCAGGTCAAACTGTGGTGAAGCTTGTGCGTGTCGTAAGCGCATAACAATCTATGAAGGTCAATATTTAACCGCAACTACAGCCGTGCTCACGTCTTTAAAATAAAATGTAAATGGTTAGTCACTCATCCTTAAAGGGCAATACCCACTTTGTATCGGAATTTGGCTTAACATGAACAAACATTTCAACAAGTAAAACTATACAATGCGGGATGCTTATATTACCCAGAACCTTTGAGAATCATTATAATCTTGTATCAGTATATTTTAAAACATTTTTTAGCACCGCGATGAAAAAAGAAAATATCGTTTTCTCAACGATATATAATATTCAAAGTCATTATATTACTATACGATGTCTAAACACTGAGTAGATACATTTTCTGTTACACAAATAAATCAAATCAAGAATAAACATCTATTCTTTAAATATGCCGCGAAAAATAAATATTTTGCAATATGGCGTGCGACGTCACATACATATTACTACATGTCTAAACGAAAAAACGCAGTGTTCTTTTGCCAGCTTGGGTGCGTTCCAAAACTACGCTCCAAGTGCAACTTTTCACTCTGACGTTTCCATTTTGACATAAATGTATGAAACTCGATCGAATTTGACATTTGTTGCACCTCCAGGTGCAACAAAGCGTAGGTTTGGAACGCAACCCTTGTCTGCAAATGTCATCTTAGACCCAACCAATCTTAGCCGGTTTCGCTGAAATGACGTGATGCTAACTTAAATTCGACTAATTACAGACGTTTTCGTTCATGTGACATTAGATAACTAGGTAAGAGATAGAAGTGATCGTATTTTTTTCATTTAATTTTATTGTATTATTAATGAAACTCTCCACTATATTACGGTTTTAGTAATTGGTTAGAAAATAAATAAAATTATATTGTAAAATTGTTGTTTGCCAAGCATCTTGTCCACACTGAGCCTATTTGGGCATTGCCCTTTAATAATAATAAATATGGTCATATTTAAATTACATTATACTAGGAAAAAGGGCTTTTTAAGGCCAGAATCAAACCAGCAACCTTTAACCAAACCTATCTGGACAAAATATTTTTACTATTTTTTTATTCCATTAAATAAAAAATACTTAATAGCCATATAAATGCTACATTCAAACTTACACAGACTGTCGTTATGAAGGTTTTTTTTTTCAATTGTTACATTCATCTCGTCACCTAATCAATTCCACCATCTTCAGAGATATTTAAGCATTTTTTTTTATTTCTATGTCATTATTTGCTTTTATAAACATCACCTGCCTCTCTTTTAAACGACAAAGCAAGGCATTAATTCATTAAGAATAAACACTATACGGATATATCATTGGGCTTTTATAATTATTTCATCTTTTTTTATCATAAGTACTTGTACATTATTAACAAAGAATAACTTACTTATATTTACGAGTAACTACACCATTTTGACATTTTGTGCGCTACATATTGCAAGCATTCATATATATTTTATACATAGATATATTAATTGCTAGACAGTTACATGACTCAGTATTATATTCCTATCTAAAGATTTATTATATCACTTCGAAATAGAAGTGATATAAGTAGTAACTTAAAATGGTGATTTCATATTTTTTCTCCCCTAACAAATTAATGATATGCCTTGGCCGAAAACTAGATTGATTTTCACGAAAGAAATCCCAAAAATAATTTCTATGGCAGTGCTTTAAATAACTTAAGACATTTAAAATAATACTCCAGTTACAACGAACAAATTAAGAAAAACGACAACATTCAGACAACTAGTAATGACATGTGAGCAATCTGTCAAATTAGTTCCAATAATTGCCACCGGGACTTGTTTTGTGGAAAAAACTTTTAATATTTTATTATACATTTTAATCTGCCTACTTTGCACCACATAAATTAATCGACATTTCCAATTCCATATACCCTCTATAACTAAATACGCTTTTAATATTCAATCCTGTACACAAAATAAATGTAATTTAAATAATAATCACAGACTCATAATTTGTAATATTATTTTTGTACCTATAAATTAAACGAGTGGTAACTTTACTAATTAATGTTTATGGTAAAAATCTAAGTATCTTCTGAATGAAGGCAGCTTGGATTTCATCAGCCCTGTAATAAAG